ATGCATGTGCCGCAACCCCGGGCTCGACGTGGACGTTGGCATTGGCGTCGATGGCGGTCGTGTGGGCGCTACTGTAGGTGCCGGTGTCGGCGCTTGCGTCGGTGTAGGCGTCGGAGCGTGCGTCGGTGTTGGCGTCGGTGCTGGCGTCGGTGCTGGCGTCGGTGCTGGCGTCGGTGCAGGAGTCGGAGCGTGGGTTAGTGCAGGAGTCGGAGCGTGGGTTGGTGCCGGCGTCGCAGGTCGAACAGTGGGCCGAGGGGTCGGCGCTACGGTCGTCTTCGGTACCGCTGTTCGAGGCCGTCCGGTGGGTCGTCGGGTCGCCCGCGCCGGCTTGGCTTGCGTTGGCGCCCCGCACCAGTGGTGCGTCGAGCCCATAAGCGAGCACTGATACGGGTTCCAGCCGTCGTAGCAAAGCGTGTAGCCGGCACCGACGAACTGGCAGTTGTTGACGCAATCGTGGCCACACTTGTCCGCCATCGGATCCTCCGACGGCGTCCCTCGAAGAAACCGGCGCCCAGACGCGACGCTGGGTGCTGCGACAACTTCAAAGCCACCGTCCGGTGCAAACGACCATTTTTGGGTCGCTTTGCCCTCGTCGCACTTGTAGACGTGGAGCACGTCGTTGCCGTCGCCGTCGACGTACGTGTCCAAGCACTGGTTGCTGCTCTTGGACTTGAACATGTTCTTCTCCGCGTAGTAGAACCAGATCTCTTCGTCGTAGTGACCCGTCAAGCCGTAGTTGGGCTCGCCCAAGTACACGCGGCCGTACGTGCGCGTGTTGGCGCCGTTCACCTTGATGACCTTGCCGTTGTGCCAGAGACGCACGGCGACCGGGCGAGCACCGACCTCGACCGCGCCGAGGAGCGGGTGGATCTTGCGCTGCTCGTCAAAGACGCCAAAGTTCTTCTCGATCAGACCAAAGTCGTTGTCGCCGCCAAAGAGCAGGTTGAACGACGTAAAGTAGTAGTACTGGATGTTCTGCTCGTCCGCGAACGCCAAAAAGTCCTTGAGGTAGCGCGCCGCCGACTCGGGCGACGCCGCGAGGATGCTCGGGTTCTGACCCGCCTGGCTCCACCCTGTCTCCATGATCATGATCGGCTTGCCGCGCTTCACAGCCTGCGCGCGGATCGGGATGAGGCGGTCGAACATCGTGTTGACGCCGTCCTCGACCGGGATCGTCTCCCACTGCGAAAATTGGTTGGCCGACACCACGTCCACCGCGTCGTAGAGGTTGGCCGAGTACTTGTACGCGTCCATGACGTCCGAGATGGTTACGGGGAAGTTGAGGCCGTTGGCGCGGACAAAGTCGCGTGTTCGGGCTGCATACGCAATGAGTTTGTCCGAGCCGTCGCGTTGTGCAAAGTCCCGCCGGCCTTGGATGTAGTGGCGGTAGATGGCCTCGGATGCAACGCCAACACCGAGCACGTTGTCGTTGCGGACCTTCTTCTCCGTGACGAGGCGCTGGAAGGTGCTAAAGTCGCGCTCAAACGAGTCGAGGTCGGCGTCAATGTCACCGGCAAGGCCGAGCCAGACCCGCATGTTATGCTCGGCAGCGACGCCGAGGATGCGCTCCACGCATGGCTCACCCATGGTGTCGATGCGTACGTTGCTGGTCACGGCGGCCATGGCTCGGAAGTCGAGGCGGACGTCAGCCTCGTCCTTGCAGCCGCCGGCACTCGACGTCCGCGGGTCGTAGTCGAGGCCGTAGAAGGCCCGGTCCAGCGCGGTCGCGGGGCGCCATGCTATCCACGCAGCGATCGCATGTGCCAAGTAGGATTTCATATTCGATTTGAGAAATGAAGTCAATCGCAGCAGCAGGTTCATCATGCAATTGACATGGTGCGCCTTTTTTTCGGACGACGATCCTAGATTCACATGAAATCCGATTTTCAGTGATGGCCATCGGCGCGACGACCCACGACATCCGAATTGGACACGCAAAACTAGGATATCATCAAATTTAGGCCCGACCAGAGCAATTACCGTCTCACCATGGGACCGCTGGGCACCCGATACACAAGGGCCCAGCGCCCTCGACTCGACTCGATGCGCAACACGGGCCACCTACTCCTATACTAGACGTAGCATATTGCTCACGCCAGATTATTGTCCTGCCCGCCATTATTGTTTAGCAGCGATCTTGGACGATCTTTCATTGGCACCAATTGGGTTGCCATTTCAACCAATCGCGTCACGAGGTACCCAAGAGCGTCACGTGTATATCTTCGTCGTCGAGCGGCGCTGGCCAAACACGCAGTCGCGACGCATGCTGCTGCCACCGCAGCAACGATGGCACGCAGAAAGCATGATTTTGCCCTCGCTTCCCCGCGCTGGTCCAGACGACCACAACCAGCGATCCAAGTCGGGACGTGCCAAGACCGTGGGATGCGAGCTGCCGATGCACACTCGTGGCCTCGATCATCGCAACTGCTTCAACAATAGTACTCGCGACGTTGGGGCACGCAAGCCAGCTACGCAAGCCGTAGAAAGCTGACTGTGGCTACTCAAGGCAGTGGCCCACTGGAAAGGAAGTGTTTCCTACCGGTGCTAGTACAGTATATCTGCAACGGTGCACGCTTGTCTCGGCTCCCGCACGGATTCCGCATCCACATGTGCTCCTGGAACACCCTGTATATCGCATCGCACCGCACGGCTTTGTAAAGTGAGGCGACAGAGAGCAGTGTCATAAGAGATGAACGCGGCTAGCTAGTACAGCTGTACATGTAACCGCAGGAGCCACGCTGGAATGCATCAAAAGACATCGTCAGCATGGGATTGAGGTGCTCGAAGTGCAAGGAGCAACCCGGAGGGTCAAGGTTCCCTGGAAGGGTACCCATGGTGTGGTGTGGCCAGCTTGCCGTGCTCTACGAAAAAGCCCTATCATAAGAAGGAGATCCCAATCCAATCAACACCGTTCTACGCAGCAAACTACACTACAAGGAAGTCACCGGCACCGATCATAAACCGAGGTACCGGTAAGCCGTACCCGTAAGCCGATTTCAATAGCACAGAGGGAAAATTGATTTTCATGTTCTAGTCGAGAACAATTCGGTTAATTAAACTTCTGGTCACCCAGAGTGTAGCCACAAGCGAGCTGCATACTCATAACTTTGTACAAACGAGCTGCGCGCATCAATCAATCGAGGTTGAACCCAATCCCAGGTGACATGGATACTTGCACGCAACAATTGATGGCTCGGCAACTTGAGCACTCGAGCCAAGGGTGAACCGAGGGCGTACTTGTACACCTTTGCAGATGCTTCGAATCCAATCAGACTCCAATACAGGTGTGCCTCGTGACATACATTGTCCTTGGTCATGCAGTCACAGCGCAGGCTCAAGCATCGAGGTCGGGCTGCTGGTCGGGCTGGCAACCTTCCGGAAGGATCCGCCCTAAAATGGCGTGCATTTAGTCAATGACGTGGCTGTCTCTCCCTTGCATAAAAATACAACTCAATTCATACGTTGTCGTTGGTGTTTTTATTCCCCCCATCAAATCAATTTCACACTATTTATACGCCTTTCAAGTATTTAAAATACGAGCAAAGTACTTGGATATTATATGCAATATTTAAAGACCTCACGTCCCAAAGTACTCTATTTCATGTTCTACGATTCACACCATTTGGTGTTGAAAATAACTGGTCTCGAACTTCCATTCTTCATCTCTTTTCGTTGACTTGGCGATGTCTGCGATCAGCGCCCTGCGCAAGCTCGAACAGCAGCAGCAAGCCCCCGCGACGGGCGGCCTCCATGTACGCGCGATTGATACATCTGCCTGTATCCTAAAGATCGCCTAGGCTATGATGATGCAGCGCATGAAGCAGGCCGGCGAGTGGGCCACGTGGTTCAAGAAGCAATTGATCAAGGTACGCTCGCCATCCTGACATGCAATAAGAACGCAGTTGACGACGTCGTACGATGCTAGTTGGCGCACAAGGGCGGTCGCTTCACGTGGATCATCTCGACGACGATGCTGTTCACGGTCATCCCGCTCGGCATTGAGATCATGCGCGAAGCCGACGTCAAGGAGATGGAGGCTCTCCGCGTGCAGTCGCTCAAGGCGCAGGGCTTTTCTGCGATCCAGATTGCCAACATGGGCTACCAAGACCCGAACGCGCCCTCGCTATCTGAAGCGTTGCAATAAGCCTGTTAGAGACCGTCAATACTATACACATCATCATATGCATCCAACACCGACAGCGTTGCAACAGGGGTCAATTTAATGCAACGCTCTCACACGATGGAAAGCAAGAAGCTCGTTGATTGTAGCTACTCTTCCTTGGTGTGTTTCGACTTGATCATGACCAAACCGATAAACGTAGAGCAGATCGTCAAGAAGATCACGAGAAGGATTGCAGGAATTGCAATCGCGTAATGGCGGTCAGGGAAAAAGCCTTGCACGACATGGTCCTTGTCGACAAAGGGCTGTGTTGTATGAGTGCTGGGTCAGTCGAGTGAAACGAGGGTTTGTGAGTTCCTACCGTGATGATGACCCAGAGCGTGTAGTACGCAAACGTGCTCACAGAGATGGCAAGGAGGATCGCGCCCACGGTTTGGTCGGACGATGCACCCTACGCATGGCGGTGAGCGCTTGGCGTGTGCAGACCGTCGTCGCCACCATCGGGGTCGTCCTTTTGTGCGGCGCGACGTAATATAGATGCCATTGGCTAAAATCATGTGGCATTTTGGCGAATGGCCTTACTCGCATTTCAGCCAATCAGAGCGCGTGCACAGGGGTGGGCCTCGTTTGGCTGGTTCAAAAGAGAAGATGCTTCGGTTCGCTCGCCCCTTCCTCCGCGCCGCGGCCGTCCCGCGCTCGCTGGCACCCGTCCGTAGCATGAGCACGTTCGACATGTTCGCGCCGTCTCAGAACGTGCTGCCGATCCAGGCCAGCTTCGGCATGACGATCCCGCAGGTCCCGACAACGTCGATGATCATCCCGACGGTCATGGAGTGCCCTGAGATGAACGACACGATGGGCCCGATCCTTGCGATCAAGCGCACGTACCAGCCTAGTGTATTACGACGAAAGCGCAAGTTCGGCTTCCGTGTGCGCAAGGCGTCGCTCGGCGGCCGCAAGGTCCTCAACAACCGCTTTCTGAAGGGCCGCAAGCGCCTGTCTCTCTAAGCCAAGCAGCGTAGTCGACGTCCATGTCGCTTCTAGTGTATACAGAGACGACGAAGCGCAGGACGAAGAAGCAGAATAGAAAACACAATGTGGCCTTGATTGAGAATTGCTGTGATGTTGACAATATCCGATTACGAGCTGCTCGTACTCGTGCCTGCCACCGCCTCCCGCGCTGGCACATCGATTTCGCCCAAGTACTTTTGTAGGCGCGGCGAAAACACCTCGTAAATGAGCGTGATAGGGCGGCCGCCTTGCCAGAAGAGGTACGAGCGGCCCCAGAACGGTCCCTTCATGCCAAACTCCTTCTCGAGCGCGGTCGAGTGCCCGCGGAAGATGTGCTTGATGTCGCGGAAGAGCTCCTTCTTTTTGGTCGTGATTCGATCGGCAGCGTCTTGTCCGTGCCAAAAAGGGCTTCGATCTATTAGTTGGCCATAAACATCCTCACAAAATTGGTGCAAAGTGGGTACATCGCTGCTGTGCCACCACGACGCAGCGTAGCCGAGGCGCTCGCCGTTTGTGTTGCGCAGGTAGACTTGGCGACGATGGCGCGGGCCTTCTATGTCCTGGATCTCGGCGGGCGCTTGGTCCAGCGAGTCGCCAATGCAGTCAAAGCTCAAGACGTCGACTTCGGTCGTATACCTATAGGAAGGCATCCTCGTAGCGTTAAACAGACTCACTACATCGGCTAAGCGAGGTAGTACCCTGTCAAGAGACCCAAGTGGAGCGTCGGCGATCCGTCGCCAAGAAGGAAGAGCGTCCACGCCGCGGGCATCTTGGCGATACCGAGCTACATAGCACCGTATAGACTGCATTCTGATCCATCGCCCATTGCAGGCTTGCTGTAAATAGTGAGCTGTACCTTGAGCTCATCTTGCGTCGTCGTAAAGTCGATGTCCAGGGGCATCCATCCCTTGTCTGCTGCCGCCATCCTTCGTGTAGCTTCGATCGATCTCGTGCTTTTGTACCACCGGTTAGCGCTTCAAGTTGTGCCCTAGGCGTATTTGTATAGTTTATCTGTCGTATTTACAAGCTACGTCGATCCTTAACTGTCATATACCTAAAGAAACGAAGTACAAATGAAGAATGCGACACTGGTTGAATGTGAAAAGCGTCGATTTTACGACCGTGTAGCATCCGGATATGAGAGAAATCATGCGGAGAGGTGGCAATTGCCGAAATGCGAGCCTCTGTGCTGCCGAAGCTCCGCGTGCTGCGCCTCCAGAAGGTCTCGATCTTCGACCAGCTCGTGCTCGAGGAAGCGCTCTTCCGCGCAGACCGCGACAACTGGTTCATCTGGAACGAGCGGACCGGTGACCCGAAGATCGTCATGGGCATCTCCGGGAAGCCCGAGAAGCTCCTCGACGTTGAAGCCGTCGCCAGGTAGACGTCGCGCATGGTCGTCCTCTGCATCACCACGAGCGTAGAGACAAGGTACCGGTGATCAAGCGCTTCAGCGGCGGAGGCACCGTCGTCATCGATGACAACACGCTCTTTACGACCTTCATCGTCAACACGGTACGTCCCCTTTGATGGTCGATGCGATCATCGCTGGGTAGAGCGCCAAGCCGCAGGTGAAGCCATACCCGCGCGAGATCATGGACTGGTCCTCCACCTTCTTCACGCCGCTCTTCGATGACATCACCAAGCACACCGAGGTACTGCGTTAGCTTGAGTGCATGGGAATGCTAACCGACCCTAGTCGTTTGCGCTGCGGGAAGACGACTATGTCTTTGGCGACCGCAAGTTTGCGGGCAATGCGCAGAGTACGTGTCTTGCAGAAAGAGGCGACGTGTAGGAATGACGGTGTGCGTAGGCATTAGCAAGGACCGGTGGCTCCATCACACGTCGTTTCTTTGGGACTACAGCGCGGCCAACATGCGCTACCTCCAGAACCCGGCCAAGCAGCCCGCGTACCGCGCCAAGCGCGACCACACTGAGTTCCTCTGCAAGCTCAAGGACTACGTGGCGTCACGCGACGTACTCTACCAGTCGTTCAACCACCACCTGCAGCAGCACTTCGACGTCGACGATGTCACGCTGGCCGACCATGAGCTTGCGAGCATCCTCGCTCGTGAACATCGCAAGACGACCAAGTGGGTCGATGTCAACGCTTAATTCGTAGAGATCCCACACCCAAATGTAGAGACGAGTCGTACGCTGCAATCCGATTACACGATACTCAGCTCTGCAGCGCCGCCAGCAGCGCCCGGATGCGGTCGGTCGGCGAGTCTATGCTCGCCGAGACTGCGACAAGCTTCGTCGCACGCGCAACCTCCCAGCGTCGGCAACTATTGCTGCTTGCGTCGTCTGTCTCCACCTTGACGTTGAGCCGGAGCAAGAGCAGACCGATGTTGGGTGCAAAGAGGTCCGTGGCCTGGTCGCATACGGTGCGGGGCAAGTAGACGTCGTACAGTTGGGTGCCAACGTCGACACTGACGACTGCGCCAAAGTCCTTCGAGTCAGGAAGCTCTTCCACATGCATCGGGTGGCCTTCGATCGTCATGTCATGTGCCTCAATGGCTTCAACCTGTACGTTGTCGGTTGTGTCGACGTCCAGACCGGTGTCGTCTTGGGTCATTACGGTCTCTTGGGTCGCGACGGTGTGCAAGATGGACGAGAGAATGTACGCGTCGAGTGCGTGAATGAGGGTCTGGTTGGCGCCGTTGGCAATCGAGAGCTTGAGCTGCTCAAAGGTGGTGGCAAAGTACGACGTCTTGGACGGCTGTGTCGTTGCTTCCGCTGTGTCGGTCAGCACCGAATCGAGGAGGCCGAGGCCTTCATCATAGTGCGACACGAGGAGATTTCGAACGCACACGATCGAACCCTTCTACTCGAGACATCATGGTACAGCGCTGGTTTGTAGATTTTCTATTGGTGTACCTGCCACATTTTGAGGGCCGCCTTGGTTGGCGCCGCGGGTAGCCGGATACTCAGAAGCTTGAGGCTCGTATCGGTCACAAATGCATGCGACTTGTCTTCCGAGAGGCGAATGACGTAAACGCAGACGTCAGCGTCGCCAATGTACGTCGGTCCAATGTCGGCAATCGACATACACGTTCGCGGCGCATACCCCACTCTAGCGTGGACAAGTGCAAGGTCATCCGCCACGCTACGCGTGAAAGTAGAGTGCTTCGACGTGCTCAGGTTGAGCTCAGCGTCCTTCTTCTCGGCACTCCACGTCACGGCCACGCTCGTCACAAAGACCTCGGCACCTTCCTTGCACACGATTTGAACGTCTTCGGATGGGCGCCATACACTTAGCGTCGCGTGGCGCGACACGGAATGGGACGGATGAGAGCAGGCGACTTTGAGACGCAAAAACGGCACCGCCGTCTCGAATGCTTGCGGGAACTTCTCCATCATCTTCTCCGTGAGAACGCGCGGGCCTGTCGCGTCTTTCGGCTGCAAGTAGAGAAGTCCTGACGAGCGCATGACAACGGCGCGGAGAGATCGAACGAGGCCGCCACGTTGCTTGAGCGATCCCAATGGCAGACTCTGAAGCAGCTGGTGTTTTCCTAGTGCGTCCTTATGTCAGCACACAACCTCGAATGTTCATGGGCCGTGTAGACGTACGGCGGTCTTCCAAGCCGAGGGGAAGTCGCCAATGGACCCGTCGCGTACTGTTGACATTGATCGAGAGATGGACGTGGGTCTTCGGATCAAATGCCATTTCGAACGACTGGTGGATCGGCGACTCGAGCGGGTCGATGCCTTCATTGCAGTTGATCAAGCTCGCGTTCCAGACAATGACTTTGGCGCCAACGAGGCTCTTGTTGCCGTGCCCAAGCAAGTACTCGTCCGGCAGTGCAAACGTGGCGTACCACCCGTCGCTCAGCACCCAATGCGTCGGGTACGTGGCAACGACGAGAAGGACCATCGCATTGCCCGAGTGCGCATCGCGCTGGTAGATCTTCTTGAGTACGGACCGGTGGCTTTGCTACGACAAGAATTAGGCTTCTACTATCACGGACGACATATCCAAACCTCAAGTTCACGCTGAAAACGCCGTGTGAGCTGAAACGTGACTTGATCGAGAGTGAGGTATTTTCCCGCCAGATCCGCACCGAACGTCCGCTCCATGCTCGCGCACTTCCAGACAATCCACCGAAAGTGGTTGAGAAACCATGGCAGCGTCGCGCCGAGTGCCGGCTGAATGAATTGGTTCGAGACCATCGTCGCGTACAAAAGATGCACTGAGGAGGCTCCAAAAGACGGAACCAGCGTCGGATCACCGTTGGGTCCAAAGTGTACCAAGAGCGCGTTGGATGCCGCGATGGCGTCGACACACACGCTCACGGCCGGCGAGGACGACGGATGCAAGTCGCGAAACGAGACCGTCGTCAGCTTTGGAGCTTTGTACTTGGACTTGGTTTGAACGACAATCTCTTTGGGTTTGGGCTTGGGTACACCTGGCTCGACCGCAACGACCGATGGAGCGGGCATCGACTTGCGACGCGGCGGTTGAAAAGCCCGACGACCATTGTTGGTAGATGGCATCGCCGGCTTGGCCGCAGCTGAGCGCGGTACGGGGTTCTCTGTGGTCCGGGGCATGTCACCGGGAGCAAACGTCACGCGACGCTGTGGGTTTGGCTTGGTCGTCGGCATTTCATCCGAACCAGCACGGCGTCGAGGCGGCGCAGCGTCTTCCGTCGGCAGGGCCACAAGAGTTGCGTCGCCGCGTTGCAGCTTGGCTTCATATGCACGGACCTTTTCGCGAGAGACGTCGACCTTCTGCCCGCTGCCCGTAGCAAATAAGCTGGGAGTCTCGTCGTGGGCCTCCTTGAGTACCATCACGTCGCTGGCTGCGGGTGCATCGGCGTCAAAGAGACGCTCGTACGCCTTGGTCTTCTCGGCCGATACCGTAACGTCGCGACCACTGGCGGTGCTGAACACGCTCAACGCTTTTTCTCCTGCCAGTGCGGCGGCGCCGGCGTCGTGAGCAGTGGAGGAAACGGAGTCGGCTTCGAACGCCTTGGTGTATGCCTTGACCTTGTCTGATGATACACGCACTTTTTGTCCAGACCCAGTCTGAAACAAACTGGCGACGGTCTCTGAGCCGACTGCAGCCACGGTGGGAGCAGCGTCGTTGTCGAGGCTCGTGGCAAACTGCCTCTGGTAGCGCTGGACGGCGGCTGCGGACACGTGCACGTGCTTGCCGGCGCCGGTCTGGAACAATGATTGGACGATTGGTGTCTCGGCAGTTGTTTTTGCACCAACGTCATCCTCCGTCACGTCGCGAGCTAGCGCTTCTTGATACTGCTGGACCTTTGCTGCCGAGATCTTGACGGATGCACCCGCTGCCGTCGAAAACAAACTTGTCACGGCACCGCTGGACGATGGCGCGGCCACCGGGCGCTTCATTGGTGGCAGCGCTTCGACGGGATCATCGCTGGCATCGGCTACTGCTGCTTCGAAAGATGCACGGTACTTGGCCGTCAAGTCCGCGGACACTTGCACGTGTTGTCCGCGTCCTGTTTGGAACAGGCTTAAAATCGTGGGAGCTGCAGGCTCGATGCTTTCTCGGGTGCTGCTTGGCTCGTCCCGGGCGACCACCTCGTTCGTAGCTTCGATCTCGAGCTGTTTCTGGTAGCTTCGTAGCTTCTCAGCAGATACTTGCACGGCGCGGCCGCTTCCCGTCTGGAACAAACTGGGCACAAGCGCTCCTGGCGCAACGACGTTGGCCGTGGATCGTCGATGGTCAGCCGATTGGGCTCGATCGGTGTCGTGCGACAAGACCTTGTCCTCCTCTTCACTGGGCTTCGACAGCTTGTTTTCGTACTCCTGGATCTTCTTGGCAGGAAGGAGCACGCTCTTCCCGCGGCCGCTCTGGAAGAGACTAGTGACCATAGCGTTCTCCGACGCAGGCGGCCGACTTGCGGCGGCGTCTTCCCGTGGGTCTTCGTAGATTTCGATGCCATGCTTGGCACGTCGCGCGTCGCGCGGGGCATGGAGCGGTCGTTGATCCGCAGCCATGGGCCGCGATGGGCCGTCGTCCGCGTGGAGGCGCCGCTTCTTGCTCATCGGGACCTCGAAGCCCCGGGTCTTGGACGGCTCATCCTCCTTCGCTCCTCCCGGCGCGGGGCGCTTCATGTCGTTCGTCGCGTCGCGCAGCCCCTTCCGCGCGGTCGTCGGCCGGCGGTACCTCAGCATCCCCCGCGCGCGGGCAACTTGAAATTACGCAGCGTCGGGCGCGCGTTGGAAAAAGACTTGGTCATTGTATTGCATTGAAACCTTTGTAATCGAATATAGTATCTTTTCATAGAGGTTTCCTAATTTAGGCGGAAAGATCGCGACGTCCACGGACTTGGCGCCAAAACGACAGACCCTTTTGGCGGTCGATCTTCTTTTCCTTTGGTGATGGACTAGGTCGAGGTCAGGCAACGTGGTCGACATTGAGCATGCAGTGACCATGCGTGTAGCTGCATCGTGGATGGTTTTGCTGTGCTTAACGAGCAGGTTCCAGGGTGACATGGTTGCGCCGAATGCCACGGTACGGCCGCCTCTGTGCCAACTCGGTGCAAACCTTGCAATTGTGTGGACCGATATGATGACAAAAATGATGGACGCTAAGATTTCCGAGTTTATAGACGACCGAGCAATACATCCTACTGGTCCGAGACGCGGTACTCGAGGATCCAGAGCGCCATGGAGCGCATCATGGCCTTCTCGAAACGCGCGGCAACTGCCGGATGGTCAATCTTGAGCTGGTCGAACGCCGCTTTGCTCACGTAGAAGATGGAGCACTCGGACTTGGCCTCGGCGGTGAACGAGTGCTTCTTGTTCAAGATGAGGTCGACGTCGCCCATGAGTGCGCCGCTCGTCACTTGCATGATGCGCTTCCGACCCTTAAAGCCCGGGCCCATGCGCTCATGGGCACTGCGTGGGAGGTAGACATCGACGAGGCCCTTCCCGACCATGAAGAAGCCGTTGACGTCCTGGCCGCATTGGTAGATAATGTCGTTCTTCTCGCGCGTAAAGACTTCGACATAGTCGTAACCGATGGCTTCCGTCATCTGCGCGGCCGGGTCCGCATCATGCGGGAGAAGCGTGTTGAGAAGGTCCATTGGGAGACCGTTCTGCGCAATACGAAGCGAGTCCTGGGCCGCGAGGCGCGTCGGGCGGCTGTTTTGCGACAGCAAGTTTTCTTCGCAAAACTCCATGGCCAAGTCGAGCGTCTCGAAAATCTTGGTCGGGAACTCGCTCGCGTCCTTCGTCTCGTCGTCAAAAATGTCGTGCATGCGGAACATGCCCTCGACGTCGTCCGGGAGGTTGCAAAAGACCATGCAGATGCCGTTCTCAACGAGGAGCTGCTTCATCGCGTTAAAGCACGTCGAGACGGCCGTCACATCAATACCGCGCACGCGGTCAAAGTCGAAGACGAGGAAGCGCGTGCGGAGCGCCGGAATCGGCGAGTCCGACGTGTACTCGCTGAGGTAGTCGGTCATTTCTTCCATCGTCATGAGAGCGCGCGAGTTGTCGCTGTGGACGTTGGGCGTCATCAAGCGCGGTGTGCGGAGGACGCTCGAGCTAATGCTGCGCATGCTCTGGTGCAAGATGAGCTCGGTCGGCGTTAGCAGAATGTGCTTGCGCACTTCCGACATGATGTGCACCGAACTCCCAAAGAAGATGAACCCGTCGAGCTCGAGCGTCACGATCGAACCGCGCGACTTGAGAAGCGCCTTGCGGTCCTTGAAGCGGCGCTTGACGTGGCTCTGCTTCCAGACGCGGCGAACCGTCGTCGTGTTGACGTACGACAAGATGAAGTTGAACGCGGCGCCAATGATTCCGAGGACGATACCGCCCTGAAGGTTCCAGAGAATCATGACGAGGAACGTGAACCACACGATCGCGTACTCGCGCGGGTACATGCTCTTGCGGGCGTGGATGAGCCACTCCATGATGAGGTCGACCGCGATCAGCGTCTGGAGCGACGCAAAAAAGAGCTTGGGGACGTACGCAATGATCGAGAACGGACTCGCGACAAGGACGAGCTCGAGCACAAAGACAAGGAGGCCCGTGAGACGGCTGTCGACACCCGACTTCATCGAGAAGATCGTCGACGAAAAGATGTACGACCCGGTAAAGCCGCCCGTGAGACCCGACACGAGGTTGGACCAGCCCACGGTTTGAAGCTCGGAGTTGTGGTCGAGCGGCTTGTGCAGCGCCATTTCAATGGCCGCGACATCGAGCGACGACGAGAACGCAACGACAAAGTACATGGCGATCCACGTCGGGATTTGGTCCGTGACAAACTCGCCGTGGAAGTGGTCGATCTGGAAGTGCTTGTAAATGTCGAAGAAGGACATGGTGCCATTCGGGAGCGGCGCGATCCAGCCGTAATGGCGCGCGTCTTCAAACGATGAGCCCGACACGAGCATGCCAAAGTAGAAGAGGGAGACGATCGTGAACATGCACGTCGGGAGGACCGCAAAGTGCTTGATGCGCTGCGTCACGACAAAGAGGAAGACACCAGCGGCGAGACCCGGAAGACACAAGATGATGGCCTTTGTGTTGGCAAGCTCGCCCCAGTCAAGCAAGTTGCTGATCTCGTGGCCCGACATCATCGAGAGACCGGCTTGGAGACAAAAGAAACCGATGAACGCAAAGTAGCCACCGACGACCGGCATCGGCAGGTACTGGACGAAGCTCGCGAGCTTGAGCTTGCCCGTGATGACAAGCGCCACACCGAGGAGCGCGGTCGAGCCGCTGAGCGTAAAGAGCGTCGTGGACAAAATTTGTTCCATCGTAAAGACGTCGTCCGAGGCGTGAAGCGAGTGCACGATGGAGCTGGCCATGGCCGAGAGGAAGATGAGGCCGGCGTCCTGCACTTGGCCGACCGCGAACGGAAGTGTGCTCGAGAGCGAGAAGCAGAGCTGGTGCACCGCGCCTAATATACCAATATGAACTTATATAGGTGACAGGCGTCATCGAGGCGTACCGGACACCATTGTGAGCTTCACGAGCTCCGAGAGGTACGGCTGGAAGACCGGATCGCGGAAGATGATTTGGGCAAAACTACAAGGTGGCCGTATGGGCTACTGCGCCAAGCCATGCAGCGGATCAGCCGTACCTGATCATGAGGGGCACGAGGATGATGGCGTTGATGACGCCGTAGAGGCCAATCTTGAGGTACTTGCTCGAGGCCGGTTCCTCCTCCATGGCAAAGGTCGATGCATTGAGCTGGGTCTTGTCATGGAGGATGGGCAGCTTCTCGTCGTCGAGGCGGTAGCTCTTGCGCATGCGACTCATGGCATTGGGCGTCCGGGCCGTGGCGCCGACGCTGTCCATCGCTGCTGCTTGCGGGCCACACGGGGCAAATTCGAGAGTGGACTGATATCTTGGCTTTCAACTGCGCTATGCGACGCCCATTTGCTTTAAAAGATTATTTAATGATGCGTCGTTACATACCAAATGCAAGATAGCATTTTATTTTACTCGTGGGCATCGAACGGTTTTATATCACGCCTCTGGACCAATCCGATTGCGCATCAGGAGAGCTCGGTGGATGCGGATGGATTTATTTTACTAGCTTAATGTTTGTATTGTTCGATCCGAAATACAATCACAGCGACGTTGGGCAGGAGACAAGCCAAGGTGATCTGGATAGTTGGGGAGCCAAAGGCCCTGAGAGCTTGGGACATGCTGCTACGGTCGCGCCTTCCTGTCCCCGTGTGGTCTTGACACCATGAAGACCAGCGTTGCTCGTCGTGGCAAGTCAGGTGCGCACTTGTCCTCTTGGATCGGGAAAGGATGCACGTACAGTATCTTGTCGAGCAGCAATTGCGTTTGAGTCCGACGACAACCTGGGTTCGATCGAACCGCCCAGACGATCCGGCAACTCGCATCTCACTTCTGGACCCAATCGAACAGTTATCGAACACCGAGCTCACGGTGCGCTTTAGAGTAAATTTTGTTCGAGCTTCCGCGAAGCTGAGGCGTCGAGAGGATGCGTGTAGAAGATGGCTCCAAGCACACCGCGTGAGCCAGGTTTTCTTCGGGCTGCACCGAGACGCATCCGTGGATATCGAGATACCCAATGAAGGTGAACCGCGGTGAGCATTGACTCAGCGAGCTTCATCAACACGGAGACGGACGGCTACTGGTACACTGTATTGTACTAGTTAGTACCCCGAGTTGTGACTCGTCCCATATAATGATTAGGGTTATATAGGATGGCTGTCGAAAACCCTAACGTTAGAGCCCCATTTCCTAGTACTAGTACACTACAAGCTGTATAGTTGTTGAAATGGGTCAATTTAATTTAATGAGCAGAGCTCGCTGGAAGAAATTGTCTCATCTAGGTCTGTTGTTGGAGTAGCAGCTTTCGTCATCATGTGTTCTGGGTGACACTTGCGGAGGTGGCCTTGACGACCCATCTGGTTTCGGCCCTGTTCGGATACATCGCGCGACGCAGAGAGGAGGGGGGCGGAGAACGGAAAAATGCGCGCGCGCAGCCGGGCTCGAACCGGCGACCATCGGGATGCGAAGCAGAAACTTTACCAACTGACCTGGGGAAAGCCCAGGTCAGTTGGTAAAGTGCATCATGTACACTACTTACTATACAAGCTGTATAGTAAGTAGTGTACATGATGCACAGGGGTTAGTTCCTGATGAGGCAGCTCCACAGCCGATTATCTGGCGTTCAACATTCTGTACTCGCTGTCTTTCTAGGAACGGACTTTCCGCCACCAACACAGCCTATCGCAGCGGCTGAGATCGCCGTCGCGACGAACTCTAGCCTGTGCGAAAACTCGTACTTCTGTGTGCGTTCTGATATGTATTAAGCTTCAACTTGGCACCAATGTACTACAGGAATACCGATGCGTGTTCACAGAATTGCCCTCTTCCGAGTCGGCTCCATTGATCAGTGCTCATCATGTTGTGCTGCTACTGAGCTGTTGTATTGATCATGCGCAATCCTTGCATACGTCAACCTCCTCGCGCAATAATGGTGTCCTGGCTCCGAAGCCATTGACTCGTATTTCGACCATGGAGTGAAGACGATCTGACAAAGAACACTGCGCAGTAAATTAAGCAAGGCAGACTTCAAGGGAAAGCATTTGCAAAATGAAGATCTATGCATTGACTAATGCAATTGCTCGAGCATTTCTTTGTCGACACCAGCACGGCTACAACGAACACTGTGTCGTCGCTTCGGAGAGAAGACTTGGCATAAATCGCAGCTCTGCCAGCATTTCTTGGAACGAAACGTGCACCGGCGGTAGCTGCATTGCTACGATATGATGCTCTCGTTTGTTGCCAAAACTGTCATACCGGTACATACTCGCTACTATCCCATTGAGGGGCTGCGAACTTCACAACGTATTCATTCTCCCCGCGTGCCACGTCATGAGCGCTCCAAATGCACCCAGGTTCCAAGCTTGGTACCATCGCCGATCTGCCGTGGCGCTGTGGTAGTTCGCTGCGGTTGCCAGATTGTGCAGCTGTCGCGTCTCGATTCTGGTCCTGGCCACCCAGATCGCCCATTTGGTTCAACTTGATTGTACCACGGCGCCACAAATGGCCACATGGGTCCGCTTGACGATCGCCAATCACGCCGCAGATTCGAGCAGCGTCCGTGCAAATCCCACCTGTTTGGGATTGGCTGAGCTCATAGCCAATCATTTTCATGCGAATCATGTGACAAACCAGGTGCTTGACCAATAAGAGGAGGCGCAGGAAAGCGCTGGGATCGACGTCGCTGAGGAGCCCAGGCCGGGTGTTCCTCACAACGACTATTTCTACCTTCTGCCAGAGACAAGAATGGACAGCGTTGGCGCGACCGCCCGCACGCCACGCAACGAGCTCAGCCGCTGGAAGAGCTACCGGGACGAGGAAGAGTCGCTGCCGCTACTCCAGCATGGCGCACCCAAGACGTCGATCGCTGTCGTTGAAGATGCGCCCACGGATGCGTCGGACAAATACTTCAAGGTCGGTCTCTATGGCCTTGTGAACGCCATCATCCTCGTGCCGCTCATGATCAGGTAACATGTCCTCGTGTACCTGGCTGCACGGCGCTCACATCGTGTTGCCTGTAGTTTTGCGCAAATCATCTTTCGCGACCCGGTCTTCCAGCCATTCTTGTCCGAGCTCGTCAAGCTCACAATGGTGTCTGGTATGCAGCTTCTTTGCTGCGACCTTCCGCATGACGCACCATTTCTGCTTAGGCGCCGTGCATCAGCTCTGCTTCTCGGTCTCGAGCACGCTGCCGTTCGCGGTCGGTCAAGTCCAGGACGCCGGCCTCATCTTCCTCTCGGCGATGGCCACATCGATTGTCTCGATCCTCAAGGCCTCCAACGACGCCGTGACGATGGAAGACATCCTGTCGACGACGCTGTGGACGCTCTGCGGCTCGACCGCGCTCCTCGGTGTCGCGCTCATCATCACGGGCAAGCTCAAGCTCGCGAGTTTCGTCCAGTACCTCCCGATGCCTGTTGTCGGCGGGTACCTCTCGTTCATCGGCTTCTACTGCTTTGAGGCGGGTCTCTCGATGATGTCGTCCAAGGAGATCACGTCCATCCTCGACTGGCATAAGCTCGCGGACGCCAAGTCGATGCTTCTCTGTGCGCCGGGCGTCGTCGGTGGCATCTTCCTCTTTGTCATGACGCAACGCATCCGGCACTTTGCGGCCCTTCCGACGTGCATGCTCTCGATCCTCGTCGTGTTTTACCTCGGTATGGTCGTCTCGGGCTCGTCCTTTGAAGACGCGCGGGCGTTTGGCTGGATTGCCGCGCTGCCCAACGGAACGCTCTCCGTGGCCGACATGTACAAGCACTTTCACGCCGACCTCTTCCACATGGAAGTGCTCACGCCGCAGATCCCGACGTGGATCGCCATGTACTTTGTCGTTGCGTTCTCGTCGTCGCTCGATGTCGCGGCCATTGAGATGGCGCTGCACAAGCCGCTCGACCACAACGCCGAGCTTCAAACCGTGGGTTGGTCCAACCTCGTGTCGGGTCTCACGGGCGGCTTTACCGGGTCGTACATCTTTTCGTCGACGATCTTCTCGATGAAGTCGGGCGTCGACAGTCGCTGGACCGGTGGTCTCATCTTTGCGCTCGAAATCGCCTTGGTGCTCAGCCCCTTCTCGATCATTGCGTACGTGCCCAAGCTCTTTTTCGGCTCGCTCAACGCGCTCATTGGCATCGACCTTGTCATGGAGTGGATTGTCCATGCCAAGAAGAGCATGCTCTGGGCCGAGTACGCGATCCTCTGGTTCACGTTTCTCATCATGAACTTCTGGAACCTCGAGGCCGGCATCGTGCTTGGCATTGTTGCTGCCGGTATCAACTTTATCTTGTCGTACGTCGAGTCGACGGTCGTGCGCCGCGTCGCGCGCCAAAGCCTCGTGAAGCGCGACCTGCGCGAACGCGCGCTTCTGTACCAAGTCCGGTCGGCGATCGTCATGCTCGAGCTCGACGGGTTCGTCTTTTCGGGAGTTCCGTCGCGATTCTCAACCAAGTCCGCAAGCACATTACGACGACCGATGTGCTCGAGCGAAGCTATGCGCACGTGCCGACAGTCCGAACGCGCTTTGTCGTGCTGGATTTCGAGCGGGTCCGCGGCGTCGACGTCACGGCCGTCCGCAGTTGCTTTACAGCCACGAAAGAACACCTCATGGCCCACGGCATCACGCTCGTGTTTGCAGCGCTGCCCGCCTCGGTACGTGGCATGTTTGACCTCCACGACGTCCTTGCGCAGTCGAGCGTCTTTGACACGATGGAGATGGCCATCGAGTGGTGCGAAGACACCTTGCTGCAGATGAATGGCGCGACGCCGATCTTGGACCAAATGCAGTACCACTTTGCGAAGGGCCAAGTGACGCCGCTCCTCGAGAGCTTCCTCCGCCACCGACGTGCGACGACGCCAAGCTCGACGACGCGCTCCTTCAGACGTACTTTGTGACGTCCAAGGAGCCGGCCGGGAAGCGGATTTACGAAAGCGGCGACGAAGTGCAAGGTGTGTACCTCGTTGGGAAAGGCCAGGTCGACGTCTTCGTACCCCGGGACATCCACGAGTACATGGGCTTTGAGGGCCGGAAGCGCATCGTGCGCGTCACCCACGGCGCGTGGCTCGGCGACGTCGACATGGTCCTCAACAACCGCCACAACCTCACGGCCGAGACGAAGAGCCCGTGCTTTCTCTTCTACCTCGATCGCACGGCGCTTGCCAAGATGCGTATTGAGCACCCACATCTCGCTGCGCGCTTCGACAACGCGATGCTGCAGTCGATGGCCATGTGGATCATGGAGTCGCACGGCAACGAAACCTAGCGTGTGCTCTATCAAATGCTAACAAATGCGTATGTTGCTGTGGAGATTTCAGGCGTGTCCATCAAATATGTAGCAGTTGCGCTCAGTGAAGATGAGCGAACGAGTCGACGATTTGGAATGGAGCAAAGGGAGTCCAAGCTCTTGAGCTCTAGATGCCTACGTTGTCGAATGGCAGGGTAACCGCAGCGTGTACCGAGTCCGCATCGGAGACTTTCGTGAATTCACGAAGGCTTCCTTACCGGTCACGTTCTGCCTGACGAGCACCGGGTGAAATCATCAGGATCCTCATACGACCTCGTCCTGCGTAAAGCAAAGTGGCGGGAACGCGGTCGCTCTTGTGTTCCAAATTTGAAGTTCGAATTTCCAGATACTGTATCCGGATGCTGGGATCCAGTGTATACCTGGTTCTTCCACTGGAAGTGTGTGGTCGAGCATGACAAGCACGCTCTCGGCGCAGTGGAACGACGACCGCGACGGCGTCCTCATCGAGGGCTTCCATGCACAGGTGGTCGCGGGCATGCACAAGGGTACGTCCGGCGGTCCCCCGCCCCCTCGCCCACGGCCTCTGCTAGGGCGCTCAACGGGCAGCGGTGGCCTCAAGAAGGACGGCTGGCACAACCTCCTCAAGTACTTTAACAGCACGCTCGGCCTCAACTACCAGAAGAGCCAGCTCCAGAGCCGATGGACGATTCTCAAGAAGCGCCACGCCATCTTCAAGGCGCTCAAGACACACCCCGAGTTTAGTTGGGACAACGAGCACAACCTACCCGTCGCACCGCAAGCCGTCTGGAACGATTTTACGGCCAAGTACCCGGACGCGCTCCAGTATAGGCATGTGCTCGTGAACGTGGTCCAAGCAGAGGGCTCATGCAACATGTAGATCGGCGCCGCTGACGTTCTTTGCCGAGCTCGACGCGATCTTGTCGGGCGACGTCGTGCCCGGCGATAACGGCGATTCGTCCGACACGGACGAAGACACGCCGCGCCGCTCCGCGACCCGCAAGCGTCCCGCGCACGACCTCCTCAACTCGAACATCCAGAAGGCGTCGCGCATCGATGCACTCGTGCACGCCGAGAGCAGTCTGAGCGCTGCGGCGGTTGCGGCCGCGGCGCCGCACCACCAGACGATCGTGCCCCGGCACCACCTTCCAATGCACGCGACATCGCTCATGCCACAACCCGTCAAGCACGACGCGCCACCGTCGCCGTCGTCGACCATAGGGACGCTCACGCCCCTCGAGCGCGCGCTCAAGACGTTCTTCATCCTCGGCCACCACTTGCCTGCGCGCAAGAAGCTCCAGTTCAGCCAGTACCTTGCGACCGGGCCGCCCAACGGCGTGGTGCTCTTCAATTGCATCGATGACGAGACCAAGTGGCTGCTCATCAACGACGTGCTCTCGAAAGACTCCTAGTCGCGTGCAGTACAGTGTAGTACGACCGCGTACGATCTTGTTGCTTACATATACTACCTACCTCTACCTGCTCGACCCGTTTCGAGTACTAGTACATGTGGGTTGCGTCGACAAACATGTAGCCACCCGTTGCTAGTCAAATTACATGCACGAGACTGGCAGCTCTTCGCGAGACTGTATTCACATCAAATGCCAGCATGGCAAGGCGACCAGCCGAGAATCATGGCGTCGTGTTCGAGGCCGTGCATATTGATCAGAACCGACGAATCCGGCCCGAGAGCTTGCCACGTCATTGCACCGTTATCTCGCTCGTTCTTTCGTCTTTTCCCGGGCCCGAAAACGACGGCTTCAAGACGCTGGTGGGAGCGATGTCTGACCACCCATGATCAAGATATTTCTCTACAGAACTCCTTTCATTACAAGTACAGAACTTCGAGCGACGTCCAAAATCGTAATGCAAAAAGCGGTGGTCGCTACGAGCATGTTGTTTACTTGGTGAACGAGCCCGTCGTCGAATCGTGCAACAAGTTGAGGAGGAGCGACTCCGAGTTGAGGTACACGCGGTTCTGCGACTTGCTCATGACGGCGGCAATCTCCTTGGCGGCATCGAGGCGGCGCAACTGTGTGAAAGCGGGGTTCTTCTTGATGGCCTCACCGACAAGCTCGGCAGCCTTGGCCTGACCCTGGGCGCGGATGATCGTCGACTTCTTCTCCTGGAGGGCCTTGTCGACAACGAAGCGGGCGCGCTCGGCCTCCTGCTGGGCGACCTGCTTGGATTCGACGGCGGCCGTGTACTCGCGACCGAAGCTCAAGTGCGTCACCGACACATCTTCGACGTTGATGAAGAACTCCATCGCGCGCTCCGTCAAGTTGCGCGCAATCATGCGCGAGACGTGTTCACGCTGCGTGATGAGCTGGCTAGCGTTAAACTGCGCCATGACCTGCTTGGCCGTCTCGTTGACAATCGAGGGCAAGACGACTTCCAAGTAGTTGAGGCCAAGGTTGCGGTAGATCTCCGGGAGCTTGCCCGTGTTGGGGCGCGTCAGGACACGGAGCGAGACGTTGACCATCTGCAAATCGCGCGAGCCCGTAAGCGAGCTCACCTGGTGGGCCTTCGTGCGCACGTCGAAGATCGTCGGGCGCTCGACCCACGGGATCATGACGTGCATGCCTTCTTCCTTCGTGCCGTCCTGGACACCGGTGAAGCGGTTGTACATGACCGCGCGCGAACCGGGCGCGACCGTGAAGACCGACTGGTAGAGACCGTAGCCGAGACCGGCCGTCAGCACGAGGCCCTTGACCAAGGCCGACGCGGGGCCACCGCTCGTCGGGACCTTCTTGGCCATCTTCTCAGCAGCTTGCTTTGCTTGGTTTTCCATCTTCCTGCAACACCAAAATGGGCCGAAGCTACACGAAGTTTGGGTGGTTCTCTTGGCGTTCATACGAGAGAGGGGATATGTTCATTCTTATCAGGTCTCTTTTCGGATTGGCTGAAATAGCAGCGCCGGATACATGGACACGCGCACGTTTTCATTCGCTACAAAATGCGAAAATACAGCGATGCCATTGGATGTATTAAACATTCCGGATACAGAAGAATTCACGGCACTGATTGGGCGACCCCAGCGGGCACTAAATTCGACCTGCGGCGATGGCAGCCCGACTTGCCGACGAGATCCCAGAAGAGAGCCTCAACGAAGATGTAGACAAGCTCCGGGAAGCATGGGTCAACGAGCTGGTAGGACCATGTAGGATACATTGCAGGGCTAAGCAGCGTGCATAGAATGCCCCTGAGATCCTCGACTTCAAGGTCGAGTTGCTCTCGGACATGGTCGAGCAGGTGCAAAACCAGGTGTGGCTAGCGCGACTGTCGTGGACAAGACCATCACATGCAAGCTGTAGCAAGAGTATGTGGAAGAGATTGCGCGTGACCAGGCCAACATGACGGAAGAGCGCGCCTTCTCCAACAAGCTCTACCAGGTACGATGGCCGGGAGTCGAGAACGCTCTCACAACATGAGCCATAGATGGAGATTGATCGCATCAAGTACATGATCGCCTCGTACTTGCGCATTCGCTTGTCCAAAATCGAACAGCACACACGCCACGTCTTGGCGTCGTCCATGGACCGTCTCTCGAGCGCTGAAATTGAATACGCCACCAAGTGCGCGCGTCTTTATCGACAAGCCGCTGGACGAATGCTCTGTGTAGGTACTTGGAGATGCTGGACGGTCATTTTCACGACCTTGTGCTCGCTAAGTTTCCTGTCGAGCAGCGCAAGCTGGACGCTGACGAGATGAGTACGTTGTTGTCGCTGGGACAGTACGCGGTGCGATCATCATCACTAGTCGACGCGCCAGATCTGGACACATTTGTGTTTTGCGAGAGCAAAGAGGACTTGGGTCAGGTCCAGTGCGATGACCGGTGCGTGCTTCCGCTGCCTTCGTCCCCAGTGGTGTAACAGGAGTTGGGTAGCGGCGCCGAGCACATCCAAGTGCGCCAGCACAACCGGCACGCGCTTCGCTACCGCGCGATCCAGTCGTTCGTCCAGGACGGCACCATGACGCTGCTTTGAGGAAAGAGGTCGCGTGGCGTGTTTCTTAAATATCATACAGTGCGCTCGCTTACGACGTCCCATGGGAGCGATGGCGCTAGTAATTCCGCAGGACGGCCTGGACCGACGAGTAGCCCATGAGGATGACGCACGGCTATGTAGGACGCATGAGGTGAGATGAGCCATGGATAATAGTAGGCGTACGATGAGCACAAACTCTTCAATGCACACAAGGCAGATTTGGAAGATGAGGTATTTGTGGGTCAGGCCAAAGGCAAACCACGGCGCGGGCGTCGATGGCGCGACGATGACGTCCGTCATGTTGCGCGCCGCAAGGCTCGGCGCAGGCTCGGCGGGGTTGCCGAGGTGCACGAACGCGTCTTGGAGGTACCCGACGTTCTTGACGAACTCGAAAACGCAGAGGAAGAGGTAGACCATGAGCACGTCGACCTTGTCGCCGCGGACGGCCATGAGCCCGATGCAGCCGATAGCGACGCCAAAGACCTGCGTGTACCACGAGCCGTCGAGACAGACGAGGAGGTTGAGGAGGATCTGAAGCACGGCGAGAATCTGGATCTTGCGCGCCCGCGCGTCCAGCGAGGACCAGATCATCTTGTGGCGCTCGAGGATCGCAAACTTGCCAGCCTCAACGTCGTAAGGCGGGATGCGGCTCGGGGCCGCAGCTGTCGGCGCCAGATGAGGCGGCGTGTACTGGCCCCGGGTGCTGGACCGCTGCGAGTCGCGGATCGGCTCGTACAAGCTCTTCTTGATGCCACTCATCGAGGTCGTCGTCGTCGGCTTTCTCTTCCGCCTTCTTGTGCTGGAAGAGAGGACGTAATAATATAGATTTTCGCAGATATCGCCCATAAAGCCATCGCTTTTTAGCCAATCCCGGACGTCGAGCGCCAATCAAACGCAATAAAACACAATAAAACGTGAAGTTGCGCCGTGCGACAATGCTGAATAATTGAAAGCCGACGCGAGACCGACGCGCGGCTGTTTGGACGGGCGCGCTTGCCTCTACGCCGCCATGTAACCCCCGCGTAACCGGCGTCCCTACAAGCCCCGTCGATGGCTTCTTCGTTCCAATCCAGCGCTCGATTGATGTGGGATGCGACGAAAAGCCAGCGCGGCGATGGATTTGGCTATAGACGGCATCCGTACAGTGTACTCTGTACTGTACGACCGGCACCATGGAGAAGGAAGGGGGAGAGACTTGACTCTTCCCGACGCGCGGAAGGTTCTCGCAGACCCAAAAAGATACTTTTTGCTCGACAAGCGCGCCATCGCCCATCCGTGGTATTGGACGACGCACTTGACGTTAGTTATCCGTGGTCCGTCGCACGCCACAGATCACGATGGCTCGGACTCGTGGAGGGCATCGCGACACAGTACGCGACACGAGGGCACGGCTGGTATATGCACGCAGACGTCGGCCGAGATTGCACTTTTCCCGCGCTGTCCATTAATATGGCTATGCACGGGACATGACACCGTCGACCACAGAGTGCGAGAGAGCACCAACTACATCGTACGGCACTCCATTATGCGTCTCAGTGGACACGCTGGGACCCCGCCATCAGAATGAATGGCGGCCGCGAGCACACACCTGGGAGCGGCGTGCTTCAACTTCCTCGCCAACCCGTCGCCCGTCCTCACTGGCTCGTTCGAATTTGAATTATATTACAATCCCTTCGAATTCGAATAACGCCACTCTTGCGGCTGAGCTCGACCGTCACTTGTCAATCTAGCACGCAGCATCGACAGCCTTGGCCCGCCAATCGTACGTAGTACACTGTATCCGATGTAGGACTCAAGATATCCTGGGCGGGCGCGCCACCTCTTCACCTCTTCCGTGTGCGCCGACACGAGCCAAGCAGGCAAGGAAAGAAAAGCCTTTCCTCCGCAAGGGGGTCACGCTTTTCTTTTCTTGTCTGCTTCGCACCACCCACTGTCCTCGTTCCCGTGTGCCCGCCCAGGATCCCCTCGCCGCCACAAGAAGACTCATCGCGACGCCATCGGATCACCACCATGCGACGACGACGAGTGCTCAACGCCCCAGGTACAGTGCACGAAGACCATCAATGACGGGCTCCCATCCTATTAGGCAGGGCACGATCCCAAGCATGTGCCGCAAACCAGTCGCACCGATTCAGGCCACACCGATGCATTGCGTCTGCTTGCATCGGTTGCGAGCATTGTCACCACGTCCATGTGCAATGCGATCAAGCCCGAAGGTCAAGCGAAGCTTGAAGGACGTGCAGAGACAATGTGTCATGCGATCCCAGCAACGCCAGACAAGATGGAAGGCCATCGACACTATGCCCTCCCGCGACAGAGAGTTTTGGGCAAGACGCGCATCGACGCCCATACGCTTACGCTATACTGTCGGCGAGCAAGTACCGCGCGGCGACGTACGTGACCCCGACCAGCGGCAAGGCCAAGAGCACCGAGACGACGAGAGCGAGAGAGTTGCTGCCATCGTACAGTGAGCCAAGAAACGCAGCCAAGGTCGCGACGCCAGCCACGTATGCCGGTAGGCACCAAGTTGAGGACGTCTAAGTCAATATTTTGTTACACGCGCCAAGTATTGCTGTACGTGGCTTAGTCCATCAAGCTGTCGGGGTATACCGGATGGGGCAGCGGGATGATCGATTTCTTTTCCTTGTCCCGCGGCAGCGCTTTGCGCATGTCTACAGAGCTGTATGAGCACAGGTATCGGCGTACACAGACAACCAAAGGCGTCTTCCATGTCGCCGTCGCCAGAGTAGTATCCAATGACTCGCCGATAGACAGAATACCCGAACTTCTCATACATGCCGATCGCGAGCGTGTTGGAGACGCGGACGAAGAGGTCGACAAAGTACCCGTCGTACCTATAGCGGGACATGAGTCATCGCAAAGCTGCAGCGTGGATCGCATCGTCATCATACAACTCGATCGAGACGTTTTCAAGATAGTCCATGAGGTTTTTAGCGAGGCCAAGTCGGCGAAACTCGGGCGCGACCGTCACTGCAGTGACGTGGCCGTGCCAGTTCTCCGCCTTGCCTTCCGCCTTGCCCATGACTATTCAATGGCGTGGTTGAGATAAGCTACGCCCATCATTCATCTGCACGTACTGTAGCCCATCATGGTCTTGTTCGGGTCCTCCTGCACGAGAAAGTAGTCGGGCCACTTGGTGAGGTACTGCAGGTAGAAGGACATGTTGTACTACGCAGGAAGCATCGCATGAGACGTCGCGCTTCCACGGAGTCTTACCGTCTCCGTCAGCACATCGAGGTTGACGTTGTTAAACCGGAACAAGTCCTCGCAGCGGAACTTGCGCGTCGACGTCATGGCGGCCACTGATGGAAATCTGACGCCGGCGAATGGACCCTGACGTATTTTATCCAATCAAGGGTTGTGATAGCGATGCACGTGCATTCGATTGGCTAAAATCCAAACCTTTTCCAACGGACCGATATCTTTTCTGACAAACGAAGAGGAGCAATGGGCGTCGAAGGAAGCGATGGGGGATGGACCCTCGGGCCGAAGAAGACGACACTCTCCGTGGAGCATGCGGTGAACGAGCCAATTCTCCTGCCAGTGAAGCCGGCCGACGACCCCTTGCGCGTCGATGCAACCAGCCTCGTCAAGCCCGAGATCAAGCCCGAGATCAAGACTGAGCAGCCGCGGCCCGACCCACCGGCCGAGCCATCGGCCAGCGCTGGGGTCATAGTGCTTCAGGATGGAGAACTCGATCCACTCTCGGCAATGATGGGGTCGTCGGTCTCGGTAGCGGATCCACCAAAGGCGTCAAGCAAGAGAACGCTCGTAGCGCCATCGGCGATACCCGTGGTCAAGGACGAGCGGAACGACTACCTTGATGAATGGATCATGGCGAAGGATGGTATCTTTCAGGACTTTGCGTCGGAGACATTCAAGGTCAAGCTGCATGCGAACGACCAAGCCTTCGTCGACGACAGCACGAGTCGCCAGTTTGTCTACTCGGAGGGCGATCCGCAGACCGACAGCAGCGCGATCCGGAAGGCGCGCGCTCGCTTGGAGCAGCTTGAGAGCAAGAAAGAGCCCGAGGGCGCGTCGGCGACCGTCGAAGTGTCCAAGACTGAGTACGTTGACCGCGTCAAGACGCTCCAGACCGACTTTGTCGCGGCGTGGCTCGACGACCAGAAGGTGCTGGCCTTGCGCATCGCAATCAAGGTACGAAATCAACGTGGCTGGATGAACAATACTGCATTTGAATACTGTGCGTGGATCTAGTGCTTTAAGCTCCTTGGTGACGTGAGCTTCCCGAAGTTGTACCCGTGCATGTTTGTGCTCGTGAGCGATGTCCTCGACTGCTTTGGGTCGCATGTCTACAACCGCATTTTGGCCAAAGCGGAAGAAACCCTGGAGCAGCCGTTGCCGTGTACGTTGCCTCTGGATCGCAATTCATGGACAAAGGGGCGTGTTTGTAGCCAACTTTACAAGCAACGACATCTGCATCGAGGCGAAAGAGACGTGTCGCAACTGGTTTTACAAGACTGCTTGCATCCGCGAACTCCTCCCGCGCATGTACGAACAGGAGCCAGGATTAAGGATGCCTAATGCGGTTGTAGCTACACGGAAATCGCCTTGCTGCGCTGTTACCGGTTTCTCTGCGACGGAGAGTACCCCCAGATCGTATCTCGCCTCTCCAACATGATCCGGTACGTATCTGCATCCTTTTCGAATTTACTTCCTATCAGTTCCTTGTCCGTAGTGGAATTGGCGATCCAACGATCGGTTTGTACTGCCGAGCGTACCTGGCACTGGCCAGCTCGCGCGTCTTGCCACCGTCGACCCCCAATCCAGCGCTACTCAGCAGCATGCAAGACTACATGTACATTATGCATCGCTTCTCGCTCGATACGGTAGCATATTTTCCCATTCTTACCCTGGTACTATATTACATGTCAACCTAGGCGCCAACGTTCTACGCCGAGCACGAGATCACGGAAAGCGAGATGCGTGCGATGCACTCACCGGCCGTCGAGTGGTTGGCGAAAGGAATTGCTCTGCACGCATCCGGGGTACGATCGCTTCTACTACGTATATTTCTGCTAAAAATCGAGCTAGAACGAAGCAGAGGCACTTCTATCGCAGTACAAGCAGTACCCAGAGAATGGCATGGTACTGTCGCACCTCATCAAGACGTTTCCCCCGACCGCGCTGGCGAAACACACCATGGACATTGTGTATCTCATCAAGCAAACAACCGGTCCCAAGGTTTGATCACATACCACCGTTGTCGATGCATGGGGATGTGTGCTCTAGGTCGATCTGTACCGCTGTCTGTGCACACAGCTCGTGCATGCGTCGCCGCCCGACGCCGATAAGCTCACTTTCCTCAACGAGGTGTGGGGCACCATTACGCAGCTGAGCGATATCCACGCGTACCTGACGTGCGCCACGGGCTTTATGCAACTCCTCGTAGCCCACTACTCGGTACGTCAATCTTTTTCATGGTGCAAGAAACGAGTGTGCAAGCAGAGCCGAGAGGTCGTCATCCTCCTGAAGGACATCGTGCGCCATCTCAATACGGCCGAGACCATGGACGCCAAGATGTACCAGATGCTGCAAGCGATCATGACGACGATCATCCTCGAGGCGCGCCGCCAGCTCTACTACTTTAGCACGATCATCACGTCCTCGGAGTTTCTCGTAGACCGCCAATACCATCCATCATTGGTTTTCTCAGGCGTCATGAGATGTAGACGCTGCTGGGGATGTTTCGTCACACAACCAACGTCGCGCTGAGCAAGCGGCTCCTCGAAACATTTCTGCGCAAGTCCAAGGTCACCCTCAACGTGCACGGCCCGCACGCTGCGCTTGTCCAAATCCTCTTCAGCTTGAGCTTACGTATCCACGACGCCCTCGACAGCCTCAGCGCCAAGCCCGAGCTCGCCGAAGCGGCCTCCCTGCTCTGTAACTTTGTACTGGCGCTCGACGCGGCCTTGACGCGCGACGGCGAGGATGCGTTGCTGCAGCTACTCGTCGACTGCCGCAGCGCCTTTTACAAACTCGACAAGGTGAAAGCCTGCCTCATCCGGCGCGTCTTGGCACTCGCCGTGCGCGCCTATCCACGGGTACCTCCTCGTTTTGCTTTGCTTGAATGAATCTCAACTGTCGACACACAGATTCATATGACATCGACACGCAACTTTGTCAAGGGATGCCTGGCGTACTGCCACATTACGATTCCGTCGCTGCCAGATCCGCTGGAGAAGCTGTCGTTGATGACAGCCTGCGCCAAGGTAGCCTTTTGGACACATCGATACACTTGTTGTAATTGATGCGATTTTAGGTCGCCTTGCTGTGCCACTGCCTGCCGCAAATGGACGCATTCGTGAAGGCCAGCATCGTACTCATGACTGAAGTGCCGTCTGCAGAGGCCGCGGCCCAAGAAGCCGCGCTCCGAGACAACGATGGCCCTGTGTCGGCAGCCATGTACGAGTCGCTCGTCTGTGCGGCGATGCGGGATCTTCTTTCGCTGCTTGTCGTCGTGCCGTCGCTATCAGCAGAGGCTCCATTGTATTTTTACCACGGCTATGCGAATGCGCTGGGCAAGTTTGCGTGGCACCCAAAGGATGTCAACGGTCTCCGCATGCACATCCAGCTGCTTCCGTTTCTGTCCGCCTGCGCCCAAGAGACGGCACCGTACAAGATCGGGTTGGGTACGTGCGTACGCGCTCCGACCCGTCGTCTTATACAGAGAGCAATGCGTAGTCGAGGGCAATGATGTCTGTTTGGCGGCGACACGGCGGCCCGCCACGAGCTTGACACGGTCGCCACAGCAATCATCGACGTATGGGATTAGTAGTCTTGTGGGCGACGTTGCGATGGTGCCATAGGACGTTCTTCGGGCGTTGACAGAGCTCAAGTCCCAAGTGGACGTGCAGTGCGACGTTGCCTTGGACCTTGTCAACCACCTCCTTGCCTGTGTCGACGCGACGCAGCCGGCAGCGCTTGAACGCCTTATCAAGATCCTTCTGGGCGTGCAAAAGCACTACGACGTGTTGCACGGTGCACGACGATCCGATAGCAATCGTAACCTGACGTCGATGGGTCTGTAGGCGACCTCAAGGTTTATTACGCCAACACCCGCGACGCTCTCGTGCAGCAAGCGCTTACAAAGATCGTGCGCGCGGGCCACCTTGATGCGTCTCAGCAACGTCTTTCGGCGCTTCTCAAGGCTCTGGACGCGCCTCCGTCGGCGTAATACATGTACAGTTGTTCTGGAGCGGTTGCGTTTTACTACATCGCACGTTTCAACGGCACGTAAAAATGATGCGCCGGCGGCCGGTGCCGCCGCCACCCCGGCCGTCGCGGGACTCGATTACCGCGGGTCCGAGCGCCACGGACAGATGCCTCCACGCGCCGTCGTACTACACCAAGCTACTGGCCTCTGCGAACGGCCGCACTCTCCAGCAGAACGACGACCTGGTGCGCTGGCTACTCGAGACGCACCCGGTGGTGCACGCGACACTGACCTCGTGGGCCGTGCGGGGCAGCGTCGACATGACCGCCCTTGTCGCGATGACGACGATGCAGACGCACGCGGCGGGCGCGGCGATCGTGGCGCAGGATGTGACGCCGGCGGGGAGTCTCTTTGTCGTCGCGACGGGCTCGTGTACCGAGTACGTGCGGCCGCACCGGTTTGGCCACAGCCGACGCAAGAGGCAGATGCCGGCGCGGTCCTGGCGCACGCTCACGCCCGGCCAGAGCTTTGGCCTCGACGCGCTCTACTACCAATTCGAGTTCCACTACGTCACGGTCGCATCCAATGGCCACATTGAGCGCAGCGCCATCGGGCTCCCGACCAACACGCCCGCGCTCATCTTTGCGCTGACGCCGGCGACGCCAACGGACGTGGCGCTGATTGCGTCGCTGGTTCCGACGTCGCCGCCGTTCCCGTACGACGCGCACGTGCTCCGGTGCCTCCAAGCCACGTTCCTCTTTGCGGGCTTGGCGACACCCGCGCTCGAGTTTGTCGCTGGACACGTACCGCCGCTCCTGGCCGTGCCCCGGGGCGAGTACCTCTTCACGGCCGGGCAGCCCACCGGCATCTACCTCGTCGCAAGCGGCGAGCTCCGCGTGTATACGATCGACAACGTCGTCCTCGTCCAATCCGAGGACCGCCACGTGGCAACGCGCCGCGTCGAGCTGCAGATCCTCCGGCCCATGGACGTCGCAGGGCTTTCCGAGAGCTGCACGGGAGACGACGCGACGTTCACGACGTACGGTGTCGCGTCCGTCCTCTCGCATGTCTACGTACTGCCGACGAACGCGCTCTTTTCCGTCTTGACGCCGTCGACACGGGCGTTCCAGAGCGTGTGCGCCTACTTTCGCGTCCAGCGCGACTGGTTCAAGCTGCGGCGGTTCACGGCCTTGAACCGCTTCAACGCCGAGGTCGAGCACAAGCTTACGCCGGGCATGCAGCGCAAGAGCTTACTCCCGTGCGGTCGGTGCGGCGAACCAGGCCACCTCTCGGACGCACTAGTCTGCAAGCACCACGTCGACGTGACCATGGACGGGCCGACGCAGCTCGAGGTGCTGCGTGCACGCGACGTGGCGCGGACAGCGCGACTGGCGGCGATCGCAGTCGACGCGCGGCCGCCGTCGCTGGTCGCCTTGTCGTCGAACGGCTCGTCCCGCCTCGATCGCGTCTTGGCGCGGCTGGACGCGGCCCTCGGCGCAGTCCATCGACCGTTTTAAGAAACAGACATTAAAGAGATAGTGATGATGATGATGGTGTATGGTGGTCATGACGGAGCATGTGCACGCATGAAGAAGAGGCTTTTTAGGAGCTTTTCCGGGATTTCTTGGACGGAGCTTTGGGCGGTGACGAGTTTTCCCGCTTCATTGGTCGAAAAACACTACCAACGTCCCGCTGGCTGTCGTCGTCGACGTTGTGCGCCTCGCCCGTCGCCAGCGGGGACGCCGGGACGTACTTGAGGTCGTCCGGGAACGACGCCGACGTCTGATGTGCTTCGACGCTCATGACGTCGACGACCTCGGACGCATCACAGTGCGCGAGCGTGCAAAGCTGCATGTTGTTGTCAAACTCGTCTTCGGGCTCGTCATAGATGACATTGTCCGTGATGAGCGTGAACCCCGGCGGGTACATGGCGCCCTAACGTCTGCGTGAGTGTTACGAAAATCGTGGCGCTGGTGACGCACCGGCCACGGCGACTTGTACTCGATCTCGAGCGTGTTGACGGTGCCCGCAGCCGAGATGACGGTCAGTGACTCCTTCTCGGGATGCCACGCGATCGCCGTCATGTTCATCCCAAAGCGCGTCTCGTGCCACATTTGCGAAGAGGCGTGGCGCTTCCAGAGGTACATGCCTTTTTCGCCGACGAGGATGCCCCGGGGCAGCGGCAACCCGAGGATGAACTGGCCGTCGTGCGACTTGGTGCACATGGTCCACGGCGACTTGACGGCCGCACCGGCGTTGTAGAGGTACACTTCATCGAGCGACCCGGCGGCGAACTCGTGGATGCCCTTCATGCTTGGCACGAGCACGGTCTCCGCGTCGACAAACAAGTCGACGTGTTGCACCTGGGGCAGCGGCACGCCGTGGACAAGCTGCAGCGACACCGGGTCGATCTTGGCGAGAAGGCCCTTCATCGTGAGGCAGTAGATGTGCTCGGGCCCATACTTGGCTAGGACGATCGGCGCCTGGTTCCGCACGGACGGCGTCGCCGACGACTCGCCGCAGATCGCATCGACCATGCCCGTCACGTCAACGTGACGCACACGCAGCTGCACTGCAGGCGTCTCCAGTGAACTCGCTGCGTCTTGCCGGAACGGCACCAGCTGCAGAGGGGATGGAGCAGCCTCTTCGCCCGCGGCCCGCGGCGACATGACGAGTTCGAGTACATCGCCATTGAAGCAGCTCAGCAGCAGCGTGTGAGTGTTGTCTTGCAGGCTCGAGGGCGCTAGCGACACGGATCTCGGTGGAAACGAAATATGTGTGATCATGGACTCGAGGGCGACGGCAGCGATGAGCACAGAGCTTTCGACATCCCAAACGAGAAGCGTGCTCCGCTTGCCCGAGGCCTTGTGTTCGCAGGCGACGGCGAGCGTTCGGCCGTTGGCAGACCATGCACACACGGTGGCTTGTTTAAAGTCGGGCAGCCCCACGTAGAGGCGTGGGTTGAGCTCACGAATGATGGTTTGGATCGTCGAGTAGTCCCAGAGCGAGACGAGGCCGTCCTTCTCGCCGACGCTGAGCAGCGTGCCCCAGGTATTGAAGCTCAGGCATGTGGCCTTCTCGGCGCCATCGATCTCGCTCCAGCGGCCGCCGCAGATGCCCAAGCTGTCCGCCCCGCGGCAAGGGCGGCAGACCGCCTTGACCAACTCGACATTCATCCCAATGTGGTGGCCCTCCGACCTCGATCCATACAAGTGGTCCTGTATCCGGATGTCCAGAGCGTCTACCAATCACAGCCGGTGTGTGTTTGTGATCTCCCAGTCATATCTCAATATGTATGATATTCTCAAATATGTCTTCCTTGAACCAGGACCTTTCTCCGCGATCGCTGCGTGCGGCCGTCGTTAAAAGCCAGCGCGCGGACCAGATCGCCTTGGTATGGCGCTGGGCGCGACAGACATAAATTTCATGACGGTCCTCACGCTCCTCTGGGCCTCTGGCGCCGTCGCGAGGCTAATGCTTGTACCGTACAACGAAGGTTCGCATGCCCGAAGGTAACGCACCGCATAGCGCAATCCGAGTGATCGGACGGTCGGCAATGGCGCAGCCAAGATGGGTGGCCGCGACGAGCTCTCATTACGAGGCGGTTAGTGCCGCTGTAAGCGGCAGAGAGCACTCGATTGCTGGATCTGCCTGCCGTTTGACAGTTGTGAGAGCCGCCGAAATTGCATTTGTGCGCTTTTTCTGTAGCCGCGTGCGCTGGGCCCCGACAGCGCGTCCATGTTCGCGTTGAAGAAGCCGCGCCCGTTGCCTTCAAGCAGGCAGTGTCCACACCGCAGTATAAACGGTCGCGCGGCGCCGGCGTAGAAATACGCACCGAACGGCGCGTTTTTCGGATTTTTGGGTGACTTTTCTCTTGACACCGACTTCACGCAGTTGCCGCACCAAGGGAATCCCTTGTCCCAAGAACGGAATTGACACGCAAGTCCATTGCTACATTTTCCATTGAACCTGGCCATGTGTGTGAGAAGAGATATTGTCAAATCAACGATTCTTTCTTTTTGGGGCAATATCCACTGCCTTACTTTCCAGGCCAGAAGGCAAGCCACATCAAAGATCCGCGCATCGTCGTACGCTCGCTCCCGTGTGGCGCCAAAGACATGCGGTAGCCGGTGTGAATCCGTGTCACCTCGTATACCACGTCTGCGACCGAGTTGAAGTTGATCGGAAGCCGATTCGCCGGTCGACCTGGCTCCCGCTTCTTCGGAGATTGCGCCGTGCAACATCCAAGAAGAACGTGCGCCGGCCGACCGTGTTGGATGGAAATAATAATGGTACGATCATAGATAAGCAGGCGACGGTGCGTCAGAGAAGCGAGTCGGGGTCCCGTGCGTCCGAGGACCAGCGCCGGAACGGGATCGCGCGTGGGCTCGAGCCGCCGTCCGGCTTGGCAGCAAGACGACTGTTTGCGTGGCGAGCGAGGCCATAGTCAGCGCCGGCGCAATGTGCATGGGCCCACGTGTTTTGGATGTGCAGGATCGCCGCAGTGGCGCGGCAGTCGCTCGAGCAGTAGACCGGGGTGTCGTCGTCGAGAAGCGTCAGGCGGGTGTACGCGCCGCTCGGCTCGCACTCGCTGTACTCGACGAACATCTGTAGGCAGTTGTGGCACTGACGTCGGCGGGCGTGGCGGCGCACGGGCGTCGTCGGCGGGCGCAGCGCGGCCAGGATCACAGCCATTTCAGTGATGCGTCGCAAAATCGGAATTACCTGCCATTCGAAACAGTCGCGGATTCTATTTTGCACGAAAACAGACTCGCGCTTTGTATGCGATCGCGTCGACCAAAGTTTGAAAAAGGCCTGTGCGCGTCGTAGCGTCACATGTTGAAGTCGGCTCGCGACGGCGCGTCGTCGCTCCACGTCATGAAGTCTCTCGACGCCACGAGAAAGTTCAGCGTCTCGGACTTCCTGCGCCGTCCCTTCACAACAGAAATCCAAAAACAAAGAATCCGAGAACGAAATCGCCGATGCTCTCGTGTATTAGTACACTCTGCTGCATCGTAGAAGAATATACCTTGAGCCCCTCCTCAACAAATATTCATCTCTGCCTGGCACGGCTTCTTCTCGATGAGAAATAACAAGCAACGAACGAAGTTGGTTACGACCACGGATCTGCTACCGCGTAAACTGGTGTCGGTACCAGATAGCTGTGTGAAATTTTACTTGCACAGACACGTTATAGGGTCAGCGAAGGTCCGTTGTCGGCGCCGAAAGAAGCGTCGTGACTTGGGACAATGCGCGTTCCTACAAGAAGAAGCCGCTCTGAATAAGATCCGAGTGTGGGTTGTTGACGATGGACATCAACAATGTTCTCGTTACCTGCCACCCAAGCAACCGATCGGCCGACGTCGCATACATAGCGACGCCAGCGTGCAACATGTCCACTTGCCACTTGTCGTACGCGGCAAAGACGGAGAGGAGGAGGTGGTCGACCGGCGTCAGATGCGCCATGCACAGCTCGTCAAACGCAGTGTAGGCGGCTTGGGCACCGGGCACATCGGCGCGCCCAAGCAAGGTAAAGACAGCGCAGGCGAACGCGTCCTTGGCCCACGACACGTTGATGTCGACGTGTGCCAGACCGACGGACCGGAACTGGGCCTCCGCCGCGGCGAGCCACATGTCGCGTGCTGCGTCGTTGCTCATGGCCGCGTCCGCAAAGAGGCTGCCAGCAGCGAGACCGCTCTGGAAGGCAAGTCGCCGATCGACGACCGTGTCCGCCGCCTCCAAGACGAGGACAGCTTCCAAGTAGGCTTTCGAGATGTGCTCCAGCGTCTCGGTTGTCTCAGTACCGGACGATGCGCTGAGTGGCACCGTCCACTCGGTCAAGAGCGCTGCGAGTTCTATCAATGCGACGCCAGCGACGTGGAATTCGCCATGCCCCACGAGTTCCTAAGTGCACATTTGGCAAAGGACAAGAGTAGCGCGGCCGTACATTGCAGCTTTCGCGGTAGAGTCGCTCGATCTTGATGCACGAGCCGGCTATCGCCTTGGACTTGGCTAAATTGAGCGTCTTGGCGAGGCACCGCGCAGCCTCGAGCCGATACAGCGCTTGGTCCAACGGGTTGATGCTAAGGTCGGCGGCTTCCATGTACTTCTCGTACGCCTGGGCATACTGCCCACTCTTTCGCTTCTCGACAGCGAGCGCGCGGCATGCATGCTCCGAGGCTGGTGCAACGGCCGCGCTCGAGTGGGCTTGCGCGCCCGAAGCTTGGCCTCCGTTCGTGAGCGCGGCTGCCCATGGGCGATACGTACGGCAGAGTGACGCAAGAAAGTAGTTCGAGTCGGCCCAGAACCAAAGGCCAAAGACGCCGATGGCGTCGCGCTCAATCGCTGCCACATGCACGAGGCTCAGAAACACGAGATTGTACCGCGTCCATCGCCACGCCGCCTCGTCGGGACCTGGTAGAACGCTCTCAACGATCGCCTTGAACCACGAGCTTGGCACGACACGGCCTTGGTTCACCTGCGTTGTCGCCCAATGCGCAAACGAGAGGTCCGTCGGGTTGAGAACGGCAGCGAGGAGCAAGATGCAGACGCTGACGACCACGATACGCATAAAGACGGCCTGCAGCAACGGACCCAGCAGATACAAGGCAACAAGTCCGCCTACACGTAGAAGCTCTTGGACGCGGCATCGCCGAGTACGCGTGTCGTACCGGCGACGAGGACCCACGGCCGGATCACAGCGGCGCTTGCCACCATGCTTGCTCTTGTGCTCTGGATGCGGATCCGGATAAAAACGAATAAAGAGTAAAAATAAGATAGGGCGTGTTATTTAATCTAGGGTACAAGGCGAGCACAGCGCACTCATGCACGGACGCGGAGCGACTGTGTGAGCTGCGCAATCTCCCGGCTGCAGTCAGCGAGGGTCAACGACTTCACTGGATGCGGGCCATGCGGTTTGGCGCATTGGAGGTACGTGGGCACGTTGGTATGGCGCGGCGGTCGCTGCACTTGCGGCTTGGCTGGCGTCGCGGGTTCGAGTCCTCGCAGCTGCTGCGCGAGCTGGCTCAGGTTGCGCGACGACGCGCTCTTGCGGAGTCCATCCATGGCCATCGTGGTGTTAGTGGTGGTACGTGTGCTATGCGACTCAAGATGCAAACTGAGAGCTTCAAGGTCGCCATGGGTCCTCTAGCGCCGCAGCTGGAAGCGTGTAAGTAACGACTTTTCAACCCTCCAATGAACGCGCGGTTCGCGTGAAAAGCAAATTCGGATTGGCGGAGATGGGCCACTAGGACGCATGACGGACCAGTGTCGATGTGCGGGCCAAAACCATGACGGAGATGGACCGGACATGAAGATTCGCGGGCGCTGGGCGCCAAATTTACAGCGTCTTCGTTACCGTCCCTGAAGCGTCTATATCGCGTCGTACTTCAAGAGGTACTCACTGCACGTTGCGAAAGGGTCGCGTTGCGCCAGATTCAGTCGAGCGCTTTATTGGATCTCCTGTTTTATTTTGGACGGTAAAATAAGCCCGCAACGACTGGATCAGATCTCTGACGTGGCAACTCTACAACTGCGCTGCAGCACGAGAAGCTGAGAAACGGAGAAGAAGCCAACGCAGCCGCCAGTCACGAGCTGCGAGGGCGTGGCACCGGCGTCACCAAGCGACATCGCGGAGCTTCCATACAAACAGCAAGTTTGTGCGCAACCGATCTCCAAATTCGAACCAAATCTGACGCCACTTGCCGTTGCGGCAAGTGAGACGCCGCTCATCGCGCTCCTTGCGCATGACTTTTCCAGATCATGCGAGTAGAAATGCGAAGCGCGACCACTTTTTTGCGGACGTACTTTGTAAGCGAATTTTTCTGCTCCACACAACCTGGTGTAAAGATCGATACAAATAACAAGTATACGGAATCCAGCAGATGCGGTTCGGTTGCAACCGGTTACGGCAAACCGCGAGCCAAATCCATGGCCGAGCACGTGGACCTGAGCACGGGCATCGCATGGCACGCGGCCGAGCCATCGGCGCGCAAGCGACAGAAGCTGGACGCGGACCTGAGCGGCGCAGCCTTTGAGTTTACGTACGAGAAGGTCCAGACGGCCGTCAACTCGGTGCTGCAGAAGGCCAACCATGCGTGCTACCTGCAGGTGCTCGACTACTTTGTCGAGCGGTCGGCGGCGAACCCAAAGCTTGACTTTGAGCAAGACCACCTCGTGCCACTGCAGCCCTTTCCTGTTGCCGCGATCGTTGCTGGGACAGATGCGAGCGCCGCGTCCAGCGCTGTGTGGACAGACCCGCTGATTCGGCACCTCAAGCGGCGGTTCCCGTTCGTCGTCTCGGTCCAGCGCAAGTACGCCAACGGGCGGATGCTCCTCGAGTTCGTTGCGACGTCCATCTTTCACGAGATCCACCAGCGCGAGCGCGAGGGGCAGTGGCTTCAGAGCGAGATGCGGCGCACGACGCAGCAGACAGCCACAAGACGCAGTGCGCGCACAGAGGATTTTAAGCCCGAGTCGGACCTTCCAGCGATCAAGTGGGACACGGTGGCTGGTACGATTGCATCATCGACGCTCTCTGAACATTGCCATAGGCATCCTCGAGCAGCTCTCTCGGGCCGTGACGCCCATCATGCAGCTCGCGGACGACGTTAGCATTCAAGCGGACATGCTCGTGCTCGAGCTCCGGTCGCAGATAGAGCAGCGTCTCGACGACTGTCGCAACCAGCCATTCCACGTCGTTCAGAGCGTATTTGACAGCCTCGTAGAGGACTCGAGTGATCGGCTCGCATCGCTCAAGCGATCTGTACGAGACATCCGTCCGAGTTGTCCGCGTCTTTAACGTGGTCTGTCTCTAGGTCGGTTCCGATACATTTACTGAGCGCCTATTACTCCAACTGCACCAAGAGCTGCTGCTCAAGTACATGGCGCGTTTAGAAACAGAGCTCGCAGGCGCGCACGTCGACGGCAAGCGCTATCTCTTGCGCCAGCATTTTCTCGCGCTCACCAAAGAGACATCGCTCATGGTACGCGCCAGCCATTGACGTGACGTGACATCGTCTAGGCTCCCGTGGCCTCGGGCGCGCCGCTGAGCACGTTAACACCCACGGTTCTCCTCGTCTTCGACCAGTACGAAAGCGTGCCCGAAGACGTCTTTGCGGACTTTCTGCACATGTGGAAGGACCATGGGTCGGCGCTCCGGCTCGGCTGCGTGCTTGGCCTCACGTCGCTCTCGTCGCCGTGCTACCGGTGCATGCCGCTGCGCATCGCAACCTGCCTCGTGCTCAAACCGTTCGTGCTCGAGGACTCGCTCAAGTGCTTCCACGACATCATCCAGACGCTCTTGATCGCGGGCGAGTGCCCCGTCGTGTGCTCTGGCGCCGTCCTCACGTGGCTCTACATTGGGTACACCAAGACGCACTCAATTGCTGTCTTTCTGCAGAGCATTCGATGTCTCTTGTACCGGCACTTGAACGCAGCGGGCGCCGAGGCACTGCTCTGCGTCCTACCGCTGCGCAAGACGCACGAGTACAACCACCCGTGGGTGGCCTTTGCGTCGAAAACGACGCTGCCAATGTCTGTCGCCGCCTACATGAACGACGTCGACCTCGGTGCCATGACGCCGGGTATCGAGGATCGATCCGAGGCCCAAGAGTTTGTCATTGAGCGCTTGCTGCGCGTGCAGTCTTGGAAGCGCGTGTGGCAGGCGATCTGGAGCTGCCTCGAGCTCACACACAAGGTCGTCATGAAGCACCGCGACCACGAAGTGCAGATGCTTGCGCGCGCACTCGATGGCACCTTGTCCCAGTCCAAGGCGCTCCGTGCGATCGAAGCCTTTCTCCTCCAAGGTACACACACTGTACTTAAACACATGTGTTACTCGAGGCGCTGTAGCGGGTGTCAAGCTTCTATGGACCGTGGTGCACGAGTGGAGCACGTGCTTGGCGACGTACGCCATGGACTTGGTCGAGAACGAGACCAACACGCTCCAAGAGGTCGTGACCCGCGTCGATGAAGTCAAGCAGATTCTTACCTTCATGCAAGAAGAGATGAACGACGAAGAGAATTTGCGCATGCTGCCGCAAGTGCGCCAGGACATTGTGTCCCTTCTCGTCGTCGACATGGTAGGGTTTCTCTCGCCGCCGCTGCCCGCCGCGTGCGCCCTCGGCCGCCTCTTCTACTACGACGACGTCAAGGGCCTCGAGGCGATGTTCGAGGCCTCGCACTTTGAGGCCATTCAAGCCGCACTGAGCAACCCGAAAGCGGCCGTCGCAAAAGACCTCACAGGTGCCAAAACCAAGCGACGGGCCATTACGGCGATGCCTCAGGCGTGGTGTCACGACATGCACGTGGCATACAAATTCTACGTCGACACAGCCGGCATGCTCATCAACGTGGCCGAGTGGCTCGAGGCGTTTGACGCTGCTCTGCAAGCCACGTCGACCGTCGACGCCAAGGTGGTCCAGGTCCGCTTCCTGCGCGCGCTTTCGACGCTGCGGTACCTCGGCTTTGTGCGCAAGTATGGCAAGAGCGAAGACTACGTCGAGAAGCTCGTGTTCATCTAGGCATGCATGGATGGGTGGGATTAATATTATGCAAATTCGGGTCGTCGTCGAGTGCGTTGGCCGTGAACTTAGTCGTCGGCGCCCCGTTCGATGGCTACAGAGTAGACATGAGTGATGCATGCTAATAGCGACAATGTGCGTACCGCCCGTGTTGTAGTGCAGCAGCTTCTCAATGAGGTCCACGTGCGTGAGCATCATGCGGCGGCAGCAGTAGCGCTTGAGCGAGAGCTCGTCGAGAGCGTCGCCTTCCGTGTAGTCGGAGCGCAGGAGGCTGAGGTACGTTTCCCACTTGTTGGCGAGCACCTTGCCGCACGTGAAGCAGCGCACGGGGACGATCATCTTCTTCGAGGTAGCGAATTCGCGTCTGATGCAAGCCACTCGAATTTTGGTTGGGCGAGAGGTCAACCGTATATAGTGTACGTACAGTATTTACAGTGTAGAACATCCGACGGCGATCTGAAACCGAAGCCAACTGCGATACACTGCCATCATCTTGCCGTACACGGCTGCTTCGTATTTACGGCAGCATGGACCGCTGCTGCGCGTAGATAGAGTACCGTGGCTGCCACATGCGATTCGAGGACCTCGTACCTCTACGATATGCATGGCCTTGCCAGTGCTGTTGAGGCTGCCGATGCTCTCGACTACCAGTCTATAGACAACTGATCGTTTGCATGGTAGATGTATGACATAGAACGCCTTCAAACACGTACGCACATCCAATTTAACAGCTACGAGATGAGCTGGGACGCGATATTACTTCGGTGAACCTTGCCGTCGACATCACTTGCATGAGGACCCCGATGATAACTCGATGGTGCTCTCGTTTCGTCATCAGAACGGCAAAGACGACTTTCGACGACTTTCGTCAAGGTCCCCCAAGTTCGGCGAAGTAGAACTCGAGGTTGCTTCACCACTCACTGTCGTCCTCCAAGGCGCAGAAAGCGATTGGAAACTCGAGTCTGAGCCCGGTGCGGTCACAACGCTCGGTATGTGCACGGACTTTGGTTGCTTCCGTAAACCAAGTCTAGATCAGTGTCGACACCTTCGTGCCTGCTCGTCTCTCATCGCTGAAAACGCCAAGCATCCTTCGGAACGCGGAGCCAATGAATTTTGCCCTATGAGTGCACGCAGCGCACCGCTCAGGCTTTGCACTATCTGCGCATCTGTACACTCTGTCTACTGGAGCGCGTGTGGTCGTGTCATTGCGACGACGTCGCTACACTCCAAACGACCAAGATTCGATTGTCGCAGTCCCGCGTAAAAATACGAACACTATTATTTCCTAATTCCAACACTATTCCAATAAAGTGGCGTTGCACATACATCACGAGGTGCTCAGTACTGTATGTGGGGCGCATAGCCAGAGATTATCGCGGAAGACGTTGCTGAGTATCGATCGTCGCGAGCACCACGCCTGGCATCGTGGAGCTATTGCAAGCACACAGGAATCTACTTTAACACTATTTGGGTCGGCACCTTGGTGCAACGGCTCGCCTCGTTTATCCGGCAAACCGGATACCTTGCCTGAATCCGTCTTTTCTATCTGCATTTGCGCTTTTCCACGCAGCCCAAGATGGACGTGGAGCTTCCGACGTCGCGCGGCCAACTGCCCGCTCGGAAGCCTTCGGAAGCCGACGAGTCGGACGCGTATGACCGCAGCACAGTTCTGAGCAGCGTCGCTGGTGACGACGACGACGACGAGCATGGTCCGCCGGCGGCCCACTCGTATGCGCGGTCACCGTCCGTTGTCTGGAGCGAGCTCCGCGACAACATCGCGCCCGTGACGTGGTACTGCCTCGTGGCTGCGTTGGCGATCTGCGTCGCCGTCGTGATCAAGACGGGCGTCAACTTGCTCTTTGTGCATATTCTGATGATGACGCTGGGCTGGGTCGCGTTCTCGTCCGAGGCCATGCTCGTCTACCGGCCGTTCGACGGGCTCAACGCGCGGTCACCAAACAAGCGGATTCAACGCAACATCCACAAGTTTATGCACTACGCTGTACTCGCGACGACGCTTCTGGGCCTCGCGGGCATTTTGATCAGCCGCGGCATGGCGGGGAAGCGGCTCTTCCCACACAACAAGCACGGCTGGATGGGCTTCATCACGGTCGCGCTCATGCTGCTGCAGATGGAAGTCGGGCGCCGCAAGCTCAAGTTTCTCCAGTTCCAAGGCCGCACGATCTTCGAGTGGCACGGGATGGTCGGGAAGCTCACGTACGCCAGCGGCATTGCATCGACCATTCTCGGTCTCACGCATGTCTTCCGCGACGATATGGTCTACGTGTGGAGTGCAGTCGTCATGTCGGTCGTCGTTTTCGTCATTTACGCTTACGTCCGCCGCAACAAGACGGCTGGTTACGCTGTCGTGGACCAGCTTTAGCTTGCTTAGCTTTAAATTTTAACCCAAACTCTTTTGGCTGTATTAGACCTGGACCAGAAGTAGTACGGTCACGTGGACTTGGCAGCACCCAGAAATCTTGATTGCATCAAGAAACTCAGATTTGGCCAGAGTTCTTCACGATTGAGAGAATGGTGGCTAAGAATCTGTCTCTATGGAGCACACCAATACTGCTACATTGATCTGCACTAAGAAGTAGATGTCCAAAGTTATGTTTTAAGTAATAAAAGCTCTTGACGAGTTGGTGTACACAGTGTCATTAGTCCAATTGGCTCAGATTCGTAAATGGGCGGCGCGCCTGCAAACCTTGGAGCAGTTCGGACCGTGTTTTTGGGCGGATGCTTGTGTCATCGTCTTCGTCGTCGCTTGAGAGCATCTACGCGGAGGCAGGTTGCAGTCATAACCAACTGGAACACGCGCCATACCTCGTGGCAGGATGGAAGCACGGGTGGCTTGTGCAGGTAGGGAGCGACCTTGGCCTTTTGCTGCAACGATTCCCACGTTTCTCGCTCCACAGGCCCACGACGTGCGTCTGGCGCGGGGATCGACGTCGTTACAACTTGCAACGTATCGAGCAATGGTGCGTAGGCGGATGCCGAGTCTTTCTGCACACGAAGCACGGGAGCTGGTGGCGGAAGCACTGACACTTCAGGTGGGCTCAAAACGGCGGAGGCGGGTGTCATGATCAACAAGGGGGCTTCCTCTTCGGTTGGTGTGGCAACGCAATGCTGTGATTCCACGCTGGTCGTAGCTAGTGGTTCGACAAGCGGTTCCACTTCATGTTCCTCTTGTTGTCTTTCTTCCGTTTCGGGTATTTCCTGGTCAACAGCACCTGATCCTTGTGCGGACTCGACGTCCACCTCGGGAGACGGAGGTGCCTCGATATTGCGTTGGGCTTCAGTAGCCCAGAAGGCTGATCCTATCTCCTTGATGCCGTTGCCTTGAACGCTCGCCCTCTCGTAGAGCGCATCTTGGCGGGCTTGGGCCTGCGTTGCGCTGTCATACGGAGGGACGACCGCTTGGGATGGGTCAGGAGGTACGTCACCGGCAGCTTGACGCTGCTGAAGCTCGACCTGCTTTTTAGCACGAATCTCAGCTTGCCAGTCGCGAAATTCTTGCAGCGTGCGGCGTCGCTCATCGTGCTAGCACCACTTGTGAGACCTTGCTTCCTCGTGACATTTACCTCGTGTTGAACGAACGCTGCGCGTGCTTGCGCCTCAGCCTCAGCGCCGCCCGTCTTCCAAGCAACAGCAGCAGCGCGCTCCAAATCAAAGATCGGGCGGTCGAGGTATCCGAGCTGCGGCAGCGACGTGATGTACGTCTTTCGAAAGTACTTGGTCTTCGATACAGCCTCGTTGCCTACGTAGCAAGCATTGTCAGGTTGTATTGGATTACAGCAACACTCTGCCGTACCAGTGAGGCGCAGCGCACGAAGGTGGATCATGGTCTCGAACACAGTCAAAATGGCCGGGTCTGAGAGCTGGTTGTGACTCAAATCCAAGTTGGTAATCGACGGCGTCTGCGTCAAGGCGGCGATGTCCGTCACATGCTCGAGTCGATTCTTGGCGAGATTCAGCGACGTGAGTTGGTCGAGACATTCGAGACCCGCGATCGTGTAGATGCTGTTTTCACTCAGATCAAGAGTGGCTAGGTTGCGGAGGCACTGCGCATTCAGGTGAGTTCCTTGCGCTTTCGACGGAGTAGCTAGCTACCTGAAGATTCTCGACCTTCTCGAGCAAGTTTTTGTTGAGGTAGAGGCACCGAAGCTGTTGAAGCATGTCGAGATTTTCAATCTTGCGAAGGTTGTTGGACTCGAGCCAAAGCGCCTTGAGGTTGTAGAACGGTTCTAGGCCCTCGATCTTTTGGAAGCCTTTAAAATGTGCAAATCTAGCATACAAGCAGGTTGAATGCGCGATTCAATCAACGGAGGGCGTACAAATTGTCGTTGAGTTCGGGCGTCTCGTAGCCGTCGTTGTCAACGCAGATCTGCGTGAGCGTCGCGAGGTCCATAACCGGCATCTGACCCTTCTGCTTCTCGCGGAGCTTCTCGCGGTCCTTCTTGCGGAGGCGGTCGAGCAAGTCCACTTCGTCGTTGTTGCTCAGGAACATGGCTGTAGGATTGATAATGCTATGTGCCCACCTTCCATGGAAGACACCGTTTCGCGGAAAGATCGCGATCCGTGGATCTGGATTGGTGGAAGCGTCCAACCAATCCGTTCACGACCGAACATTAGGGCTACAGGCTGACGGTATCGCGCGTACTGGGAGAACTTTTGAAGAGAGACAGCCGAAGCAGCATCAGAAGGTGCAATTCTGCTTCTGATACCTTTGAACGACGCAATAGTCTTCGAGTTGCACGGTAGTCGTTCTTTGCAGTGTACTAGTAGATAGTTTGTCTCAAGTCTTTTCGTTACCTCGATGCGGATGACTAGCACTGGCTATACACCCAATGTCGCTAGACGTTGTCGAAGTGGTCGGCAAGGCCTGACGAAACCTGGACGCCATGCCAGTATACTTCTCTCAGATCATCTAGCCTTAGCGAGTGGTGTGTCACTGCATGCTCGAGTACCAAGTCCAGCATTAGATAATTGACATCACCCAGCCTGAAAGCTATACGCATAACGCGAGTTTGACGTCCAATAAATCTTGATAGACTTGTTTTGAGAGAAAGCTATGACATGGTGCTACTCTATGGATTCCACAATTGTTTAAACTGCTGAGAGGAGTCTTGAGTTTGTAGGCCGCTCGGCTCTGCCCATATTTTTACGATTGAGGTATTGTTATTTAACATCTGTGTTGAAGCGAAGAAGGCGGCGTGCCGAGCCGTTTGCAGGCCCGCGAGAAGACGTGTAGAGCACGCGATGTGAATGTTTCGGTGCATGTCGGTGCCTTGAGGTCGGACCTTTCGAAGATATCATTCGCCAAGTGGCAGTAATACAAACGCGCACAGGTGCCGAGAAGGGTCTTAACTGAATAAATGCTCGCTCCACCACCCATTGATTTCTAGCCTCGCGTCATGATTACCATCACGGGTCGTCGTCACCCGCCATGACTAAGATGGATGACGACGTCGTGGCGCGATGAAAGATCGCTCGATATGGCTTCTGATTGGCCAAGCTTGCTTTTTATCCAATCCCATCGCGTTAAGGTCGCCACGTAGTTTTGTCAACGCGTGAGAGCATTTTCTTGATGGCAAAGGACCTCCTCTTCATTCACCGAGCTTATGATGCTGCGCGGCTTCCATCGCAAACTTGTTTACTCAAAGTGCAAGCGTCGAGGCTGTTGCTGCTCAGACGAGTGCACATCATGTGGCCCACTCTTTTCTGTGTCCAGGTTTGTGCGGTCGTTTGTTTGATCGCGCTGGAGAAGAAGCGTCGAGGCAGAACATTATACAGCGTGAACAGTGAAAAGGCTACTGCGTAACAGTGTGCTCATCCTGTAGCATAGCTTTATCCGCTCGAGGCAACGATTCAGAGCCGTCATGACGTCGATGTCCAAGCGGCACCCTATTGATACAATCCTGATTTTGTCCCGTCGAAGGCATTAGCCATGCGTAGCCGCTACAGTGCACGTCGCGCCTTCTGCTCCATCGCATTTACCCAAAGTATCTTGGCGGGCTGCACCTTGGTCGACGACCAGCCCAGAGCGTCCAAAACGAACCAATGAGGTGTGCCGAACCGGCTGGATTTGACCACTTTTGATTTTCCACCCGGGTCCCGAGAAGAAGCCGATGACGACGACGATGGCCGGCCGTCGAGACGCGACCTACCACCGGAAGAAGCACCGCTGCGTAGGGAAGCATGCGCCCATGGAGGACGGAAGCTTCCACGGCGACGGAGCTGGGCCCCATTGTCCCAGCATGCGCCTCTTCCGCGTTGAACTTCGAACCCCCGAGCGACTGCGCCGGGGACAACCTTCGTCTTGCGCGATACAACGACCTCCAGCACCCGTGCGCTCACTGCTCATGGCGAATATCACCTCTACAGCGACACGAGGAGCGATCTCGCCGGTTCAAGCCTCCGAGCGCGTCATGGAGTCACGTGACCTGCTCCGATGCATCTTCTCGTACCAGGACGGAATCGTCGAGGCGCTCCGGGGTGTCTACTGCGCAAAGGGCGTTTGGTTCAATACATTCTCGCCGCGGGACTTTATACCCATGCACATGGGTCCATTTGGTCGCAAGCGCGAAGCTCTCCTCCAGTGCATCGTCTCGGACCGGATTGACCTCATCAAGGACTTTTTCCGGTGCTTCCCCACATACGCTCAGGACGATTTCCGCTTCAAGGAGATCATTGACGCAGCACTTATGCTTAACCGAGTCCACGCCTCGATCGTCCTTCAACAGCACAAGCCTTCGTACCATTGCACCCCTCGCGTGCTCCGCAAGGCCGCACTGCGGGGCCACCGACCCGAGCTCATGCACACCCCGTGCAATGCATCGACCATGGCCGCTGTCTACCCCATACATACCATATAGAAAAGAGTCCAACTACAACCACAGTACTATTGCCCCATTGACATCTTGCGCTGTGTTGTCGATCCAGACAGTGTTTCATCGTTGGGTCCTACTGTTTCTTTTCAACCAATCGTAGGGCCCGTTGCAAAAACGCGACCATTGATTGGTCAAAACCCGACGCCGCAAACGACAGATCTTGGAGCGAAGGATGGCAGCAGACTTTGGCGAGGTGCGCCGGCGCGGCCTGCTCGGGCTCATGGAGCTAGCGTGTAGCTCGTGCTGATCGTGGGCGACTACCACATTCCTCACCGCGCCATGGACATTCCTGAGAAGTTCAAGAAGATGCTCGTGCCCAACAAGATGCAGCATGTGCTCTGCACGGGCAACCTCGTGACCAAGGAGACCTTTGACGAGCTACGCGAGCTCGCGCCCAACGTCCACGTCGTTCGCGGCGACTTTGATGAGGTACGCGCCACAGAGCTGCGGGCGCTTGAAGCGTCGAGTAGAACGCGACGTTTCCGGACAAGAAGGTCGTCACGATCGGACAATACCGCATTGGATTGTGCCATGGCCACCAGGTAGAACCCCATGCACCACGGCAGCGTCTTCATGGCAGTGGCGCAGATCGTTCCGTGGGGCGATGTCGACAGCCTGGCTGCGCTCCAGCGCAAGGTGCGGATCCCATCCCAATGGCGACGTCGATGCTATCGAGCGTGGTAGATGAACGTCGATATCCTCGTGACGGGACACACGCACCAGTACAAGCTCCATGCGCAGAACGGCAAGTGGTTTGTGAACCCTGGCTCGATCACGGGCGCGTACGGCAACTTTACCCCGTACGTGTAGATGCTACATGTGCGTTTATCTCATGGACGCGCTGTGATAGCGACGTCGTGCCCAGCTTCATCCTCATGGCCATCCAAGGCAACAAGGTTGTGGCCTACGTCTACGAGCTCAAGGGTGACAACGTCGTCGTCTCCAAGAGCGAATTCTCGAAATAAAAGCATCGTTTCGATCGTCTTTCCTTGCCCCTTGACGCCGCGTGCATGAGAGGCATAGGCCCAACGTATCGATCGATCGTCAAGACGACGCCAGCCTGAGAATACCCACATCGCTCTCGACAGGCAGGCAGGATATCCATGGCGTCCCTCTCGCGGCGATGCTCGGCAAGGTTCACATACGACATGTATTCCAGTAAAACTTAGCCAAACGCTGTTGTTGGGATGCCGCTGGGGACTCAAAATTGGCAAACACTTTTAGATCGAGTGGCGATGCGACGCCGACTTGCGCCGCTCGTCTGGGCACTGCGTGATCTCGATCCACGAGTGGCAGCGCGTGCGCTCGAGGCTCCACGCGACGCCTTGGTCCAGAAACACCTTTTTGGCGTTGATGCGGTCGATCACGAGCTCGAGGTTCTCTTGAACCTACGCGGCGCGAGGTGAGGCGTCAAAAATCGAGATGGAGCAAGGTAAACCTCGCCCGTGCACGGCCGCACGCAGCAGAAGAGGAGCCCGCAGGACAAGGCGACACCAAAGTAAGCATACACGACGCACGCCGTACAAGGAAAGTAGTCGTAGCACGTCTGGTTGATGGCCGCAATCGCAGCGCGAAAGTCGGCTTCGGCCATGAGCTTTTGCAGCGGTGGCGTAAATGCATCGGCGTACTCGGACGCTAGGCCGTCGACGGCCACGCGGCCGGTCGGTCGAAGCTTGGCGAGGATCACGCGGTGGTGCTTGACCTTGGCGTCCGGCGCGTCCGTGGACACGACGGGGGCGACATCCTTTGGCAGCAGCGGTTCCTTTAGCGCCTGGGAGACCATCGCAACGTGCGAGGCTTCTTTCAATTCAATCGCGCATTCTTCCAGCGCCGAAGAATAGAAAATAATGTGTGCTCTACATCGAAGGTTAGCGTCCTCACGGTCTGACTGCTGTTTAAAGCGATAGCTTTCGCCAGGGTCACAGTGTGCTAATTTGCCAGTTCCGTTTGCAGCCTCCAAAAGTCAATGTGAAGACAATTCAACGCGGCAAAGGATTTTGCGGGAATAAACGCTGAGCTATTGTAGAACGAGTAGGACTCAAGCGCCAACGAGCGGCTCCGTTTCCTTGAGGAGGTACGAAAGCGGCGCGCCAACAAGCAACGGCGCAAGCTTCGTGCGCACGGTCGCGTGGTACGCGTTGAGCCATGCGAGCTCGTCCGGCGTGAGGAGCGCCGTGTCAATGAGGCGGCGCTGGATCGGGCACATGGTGATCGTCTCAAAGACGCAAAACTGGCCGTACGTCGTCGGAAGACCTTCCGCCTTCTTGGCGACCATCAAGCTCTCGATGCGAATGCCAAAGTTGCCGTCTTCGTAGTAGCCGGGCTAGACACACGTGGCATGATACCCATCCCCCCGCAACCGCAGCACAGCGTACCTCGTTGCTCACAATCATGTTTTCGCCAATCAAGAGACCCGTGGGGTTGAGCTTGAACGACATGAGCTAAGCATGAAGCAAGGTCACGTCTCGGACGGAGGTAGCATTTAGTTGTCGTACCACGCCCTTTTCGTGGACGTTCAAGAACGCACCGACGCCGTGGCCCGTGCCGTGGCGGTAGTCCATCCCAGCGCTATGGAACGTATGAGCGGACACGACAAATGCCTGTTACGTACCGCCACAACGGCGCGCGGGTGAGCGCATCGAGCTTGACGCCGTCGCAGTCGTTGGGGAAGACGGCCTAGGCACCCCGTTGGCTTGACGCAGAGACGACCAAGAGCATTTACCGTCGCGAGCGCAATGTGCGCCTTGAGGACGTGCGTAAAGCAGTAGATTTCGTGGGTCGTCGGCGTGCCAAAGTGCGACGTGCGTGTCACGTCCGTCGTGCCGTCGAGATACTGCGCGCCCGAGTCGTTGAGGTACATCTTGTCCGTGGTCACGCTGCCGCAGGTCTCCTCCTTGGGCTATGCAGCGCATCCATGTGTATCGAAGCGTGTACTGCCGGTACCGTACGTCGTAGTGGATGATAGCGCCATTCGGGCCCGAGCCCGAGATGGTCTCAAAGCTGAGCGACACGTACTTGTCCTACAATACATACTATGTGAGTCGATTGGAACGCCGTGCATTGAACCACTTACCATTTCTTCGCGGAAGGCTTGCTGGGCCTTGGCAACGCTGACTTCAGTCAGCAACTCGTTTCCTGCCTCGAGCTGCTCCTCGAGCCACGAGAAAAACTTGACGAGCGCTGCGCCATCGCGAATGTGCGCCTAGGGTCGTTCGTCGTCGCTTTGTTCTGTCCTGTCAAGGGTGGGCTACCTGGCGCATGCCCTCGATTTCCACTTCGTTCTTAATGGCCTGCAGGAATGGTCAGGTGCATAGGAATGCGTGCAGTGAGGCAGTACCTTTTGCTTCATGACGATCGACGGAAGCTCCTTGCGAAGCGAGACCGGGATCGCGCTAAAGACGGCGACATTGCACTGGGCAGGGTCGACGAGGATCACTTGGCCCGCGTCCGGCGCGCACGACGCGGCGTACGTCTCAATCTAACTCGATAGAGTTAGCGTAAGGGATCCGTGTGCCGCATGCGTACCGCCGAGACAATGTCGCCGTAGCCCTGGACTTGGACCTACTTGGCGCGTGAAATCAAGTCGCTAAACGATCGCACGTACGTCCGAGCCAAAGTGGGCGAGCAACTCGTCGCTCACTTCCTTGGCGTCCATAAAGAGCGTCGCCGAGTCCAGCGTCACAAGGGCATACGATGTACTGCATCATGATCCAATAAGCTGTCTCCATACACATGGGACGTACACGACGGGGTTGCACTCGACGTCGGCGCCGCGGATGTTGAAGAGCCACGCAATGTCGTCGAGGGCCGTGAGCACGATCGCGCGACCGCCCTTCTTGGTGATTTCGGCGCGCAGCTGCGGTGGTGATGTGAGTCCATGTCACGCAACATGCAGTGGGAAAGCGTACCGACGCCAGCTTCTCGGCAATCGACGCGCCGGCATACTCGAGGCTGAGCGCGTATACGTCCGACGGGAGCTGCGGCGGCTGGTCGTCCCAGACCTGGTCCACGAGGTTCTTCTGCCATTCGCAGACGACGACGGCCGCCTTGACCGCGCCAAGAGCCTTCACGAGCTTGCGTGCCGTGGCTACGGACGTCAAGAGCGGGTCGATCGCAAGCGCGTCGCCGGCCGTCAAGTTGGCTTCGAGCCACTCCTCGACCGTTGGTACGTCCTTCTGCGCTTGGCGCATGAGCGTCCACTCGTCGCTGAGCTCTTGCTCGGCCTGAAGAAAGTACCGGCCGTCGGTCCAAAGCAGTGCCTTGTCCGTTGTCAAGAGCGCCGTGCCCGCCGAGCCCGTAAAGCCCGAGACGAACGCCCGCCGCTTGTTGCGGTCGCTCACGTACTCGCTGCCATGGGCGTCTTCGGACTCGACGAGGAGCGCCTTCACCTGGTGCGACGATGCGGCTTGCACCTGCAGCTCGGCGTCGAGAACGCGGGGCACGAGGCCCGTGAAGGCGCGACGCAGCTTCTCTAAAGTCTGGCTCATGATTGATCGATCTGCTTTGAGAATGCAATTGAAATTGCTGAAATAAAATAAATCGATGGCAAATCACACCTATTCGCCGAAGCGCACTTGCGGGGACCACCTTGCTTGAAGTTGCCGTGATACTGTTTCGCACCGACGTTGTGAGCGGGCAAACGACGGGCTCTTTCTTCATGAATATGCTCGAGTGTGTGCAGCGCGTCAAGTCTGTGAGCTCTGAAGGGCACCAGTGTCGGCAAGCGCACAGAGCTCCTGTAGTCAGTATCTAGGTAGCCCTAGTACAAGTGCTCCATCTCACAGCAATTGCTGTTATCCGTGTTCGTGTCCAAGACGCACCCAAGACTCGGTCGTTGGGTGTTTGCCCATCACGCTTGACGAAAGACTTTTGGACGCAGTTACCATTTCCATTCGCGGCAAGAGACGTGCTCGTCGGTAGCCTATTAATGCTCGTATCCAATGGGAGCAACATACTGCGTGGAGCGCTGTCGGTGTCGCGACGCATGGGTCCTTGCAACCTCGGACCGAAGCGCAGCGAAGAGCAAATAGTGGTACTACCTTTCATAATAAATATCCTACCTTTAAGCATATAGGAAAATTATTGGTCTCATATTAATAATCAACAATAGATCCTCTTTCGTTGCATACATTGCCTAGTGTTGTTTTGTCGTACTTAAAGAGCTGAGAACGTACTTTGCGGAACTGATTGACACTGCCTTTTTATTGGTGGCACGGCAAAAGCGTGGTGCTCCATCGTCATCGTCATGGTCTTTATGCTGCGTCGCGCGTTCTCGACGTCCAAAGGCGGCGGCTTCTCGTTCCCGTCGCCGCGCTCGCTGCAGTCGATCGTGAAGCTCGAAACTCTGTCGGAGGAGGCGCCGGACGCCATTCGCCGCATCTGGACTGACTTCCACGCCGACAAGTCCGACAGCGTCGCATCCGCGCTCTCCAAGACCGACTTTGAGCTCCTCACGAGCCGCGCAAAGGACTGTCCTTTCTTCGTGCTGCCTGTGTACCGTGTGAACTCTGAGACGAACGAAGAGGGCTTCTTCACGATGCTTTCGCAGTTCCAAGACAAGTGCTTCCTCATCACGACGCTTGACGCCTACCGCGAGAACCCGTCGCAGGCGCCACCGTGCCTTACAATCTCACTCTTCGATGATCTTCTCGCGACGAAGGACCTTGCGCTCCTCCGTGGCGATGTTGCCAATGTCCTTGATAAGCCCGTACGACGTTCAACCGATTTCAGTCGAAATGGCTCATGCGCTTGGTGTAGGAAGCTACGACGCTCTTTGAAGCGCTCACGAAGCGCTACGTTGACGATGCTCACTTCGACATGGTCCACGCTTTCAACAAGCGGCCGCAAGAGTTCAACTTCGACGCGTACCTTGCCGAGTGCAAGGCGCTGCACAAGAAGACCGAGGCGTAATTGCGATGCAGATAGATACGATATCTCGTTCATCTACGTGTTGCGTTCGATTAGATTGCATACAGCAGCATCGGCGCCGGCGCAACATAGTGCGTGCCAAATGACATCCCATCGGCCGTCGGCTGCGAAAACGCGACCTGTGCTGTTGGGATCGTCATGCCGTAGGTAAACTTTTGTCGGACGACATCCAAAAGCGCCTTGGCGATGCCTTCGCGCCGGTGGCGCGGGTGCACCCACATGTGGCTAATGCCTACGAGCACGTCGCGCGGCTGGTTGGTGTCGATGGTGATGACGCCAGACGTTGTCGAGTACGGGTATGCTGTGGTGATGGCCTCGGCACAGACGCACCCCACAACGTTGTCTTTTGCCACATAGATGAAGTGGCGTCGGGCAAAGAACTCAGTCTCGTCGATGACGCCCAGCGTGTCGTCCAAGACAGCTTTGATCTAAGGTGCATGCAGTCGCGATCCATAGGGTTTGCATTACCTGCCGAAGTTTCTTGACATGCGCCGCGGGGTCGTCGCCGCGTAGCTCGATAATGCGGCTCTGGCCTCGCGTGAGATGGAGGCGCTCGTTCTTCCAGCCGCTAACCGTGACGCCTGCTGCAACCTTTTTGCAAAAGCGTGCGTGAGCCTTCTCGTCGGCGTCGAGGCCGGCCATATACAGAAAGCCACACGCCGGGCACGTTCGCTGTCCAAGGTCAGCCTGACCGAGATCGATGAACCGCTGCTGCGCCTTGGCTTTCTTAGGCGTTCCGCCGCTGGGCTGAGCCTTGCATGCCACCTTGCGCTTGCGAGTCGCGGCGGGCTTGCGCTGCATGAGCACGTCGAACGCGTTCCCGGCCATGGCTCTTTTCTCAAGTGCGCCCTGATTGGCCCATACGGCAAAACGCCATTGGCTGTACAAAATGGCGGGAAAATATTGAGAAATATTGCGGCAATAAATTATTGTGGGTTGCGGGACAGCCTTCCTTTCCAAGTACTAGTTCGTACGACTAGCTGCACACCTGGGCGGCGCTACGACGACGAAGAGGACGGCGTAAAAAGCTTGAGGCTGTAGCTGCGCCGGAGCTTGACGGGCGCGAATCCTTGGAACCACGTCGAATTGCAGCGGGGACACGTATTGCGGCCGCTTGCACGCTTGAAGTCTTCCAGGCACTGCGGGTGCAGCCATGCCAGCGAGCATTTACATGGACTCGTGATAAGCTCCGAGGATATTTGTGCAGTGTCGCAAATGGTACAACGCCGAGAACTTGCGTGGAATAGCGTGACGTTGCCCGTGCTCCCGGCTTTCCCGATCACTGCAGTATCGTGGACGGCAAGCGTCGGTTGCGAGTGACAAGATTCCGAGACGAAGCTGTCCAATTCGTCTGGCTCGAGGCTCACGGTACACGTGGGGCGTCGGAGCATGTTATCGTCGGTCAACGTCGACTTTCGTCGCTGGCGGCGGCGCTGGCGCGATGTGTCCCAGTCGCGGTGGGCGGCTTCGAGTTGCTCGGTAAACGACGCGACCGGTCGAAGCCGAGGCATAGATGCCACGGGCGGTAAGCTTGCAGTGGATGCCGTCGACGGCACGGTGATCTCGTTCCCGCTGCGTGCTGGCGCCAATAAGTCTATCGAGGCCACGCGGTTCGTGGCGAAGAAGGGCGGGATCGTTAGGCCCACAGACGTGGTCGGCTTGCGGCGCGCAGGATGCGAGTCCGAGGGCCTCCGTGTCATACCAATCGACCACACGACGGAAACGGAACGTTGATGAGGTCTAAACTTGTACGACACGCAGGAAACGCATCGTGCTCGTTTTAGACGTATAAGATCGGGGATGGGGTTGACATCCGGATACACAACAGCCAAATCCGGATATTGTCATGGACTCGAAGGAGCCCCACAAATCTGGAATACAGGCTGCCATGTCGACGCCCCTGCGGACTGCTACCTGTAGGTAGACGCTTCTTCCGTGCGCATGGTAGGCTCATGGTGACATGTGCGAATAGATGTTAAGGTGAAGGACTTGGCCCCTGGTACACACGGCCACAACCTCGTGGCGCGCGTGCTCTCGGTGGAGATCATCTCTGAGAAGGTCCAGGGCGATGGCACGACGTCGCGGATAGCAGAAGTCCTCATCGGTGACGAAACAGGCACTGTCATAGTGTCTGCGTGGAATGGTACTGCGGACTTTGTTTGGTGGGCTAGCCAACTCATGCAGGTTGTAGAGCAAATCGACCTCTTCATTGTCGGGCGCAACGTCGTCGTGCGCAATGCGGACGTTGTCGTGCGCCGCGGATTTGTGCGGCTCCGTATCTCCAAGTGGGGCAAGCTGGCCTCGCATCCCGACGGCATTAAGTCGACGCCCAAGGCGCCGGGGAAGGTGCACACGGAAAACAACATGTCGGCGATCGAGTACGAGCTCGTCGCGGTCGAGGACACAGAATGAGCACACGGCGGCGACTTGCAGCAATCGACTCGAGCGTGGGCGACCGTTGTCCGTTGTGTGCGTCGTGGTCCATTTATCCAAGACAGAACTCTTGATTTCGAAGTGCTTTCGCCACCGACTAAGCTATTATAGTGGAAATCATCTTACGTAGCGTCCAACTGCATTGTGCTATACTAGTACTGGGCTATACCGGTATACATGTAGTGCAAAGACGCGGCTGCGCAGGTTGAGGCACCCAGGTTGCGTCCAACGCACAGCTTATCCTCCCGCAACCGAGAGATCTGTACACTCATGTTACGTGCGTATTCCAGCTCGTTCAGCCTTGTACAGTCCCATAGCCAAGCTACCAAGCAATTGCAATTGTTGCGCTACAATTGTCTGCATCTCGCCCAGTACGATGTCGTTGAGCTGCCAATGCAATGTCGTTGAAGAGCCTCTCCTGATTGGTTAAAATAGACTGAAATAATCCTGTTTCATTCGCTGTTGCTTCAAAAATGGTATTGGCTAAAATTATGCACGAGCGCAATTGTGATTGGCTAAAATGGCCCAAAAGAAGAGTGGTGTGTTTGGCGAGGATTGGTTGGCGGCGATGGCTTGGCTGCTGCGTGTTTTGCGAGATGGAGCATTTCAATTCTTGACTTGTTAACTGAAAATGGGTGTCCGTACCAAGACCGTGAAGCGCTCCGCTGTCCAGATCATCGAGAAGTACTACTCGCGTCTTACCCTCGACTTCGACTCGAACAAGCGCGTCTGCGACGAAGTCGCCATCATCCCGTCCAAGCGCATGCGCAACAAGATCGCGGGTTACATCACGCACTTGATGAAGCGCATCCAGCGCGGCCCCGTGCGCGGCATCTCGCTCAAGCTCCAGGAAGAGGAGCGTGAGCGCCGCCTCGACTTCGTCCCGGAAGTCTCGGCCATCAACACGGACGCCATCGAGATCGACAACGACACGCGCGACCTCCTCGCCCACCTCGAGATCCAGCTCCCGGGTGTCCGCGCCATTCAGGTACGAATGCGGAACCATACGACTACGTATGGCGAACCCATTCCACGCCAACGCGCCCGACGACCACGACTTCCCGCGTGCGCGAACCTCGTGGTCGCCGGTGTCGCCGGCGTTGGGCACGATTATACGCTCTGTCACATTTTGATCCTCGACTCGGGCACTAATCACTTGTATCCTTCTAGGGCCGTGACCATTAAAGCGTTTGATGACGTAGTCCGCGTTCTCTCGGGGTTAACTCTGGATAATGCATTTACAAGTCAAGACTTTATGAAATCTCTTTCACGCCTTGTCCTCAGCTCAGTACACACTTGATTCCTTCATAATCTGGAGGAATTCGTCGCGATTGATTGTACCGTCCTGGTTCGTATCGAACTCATCGATCATGGCCTGTAGCGATTTGAACGAGATGTACGACGTCAATTGCAATCACACCTGAAGCTCGTCGTCCGTCAAGCTTTCGCCCATCTCCTTTGCGATGCGTCGCATGTTCTATACAATCCTCTGCTGTCGAGCACCTGACATACGAGGAGGCTGGTTGTGCGTACCTTGAGTGTGATCTGACCCGACTGGTCATCATCAAAGAGCTCGAAGGCCTAGCGTGGGTACACTTGTGGGATGTAGTGCGAGCAAGGGCTTTCAAACCTTGAGAATTTCTTCGTCGGGATCACGGGATGTGATCTTGCGGCGCACTAGGGGGCGACATCGGAAGACGCCAGGGGTGGCAATGCGACGCACTGATCTCAAGAAAGTCGTCGAGGTGCACGCGGCCGGAACGGTGTATGTCGACCTCGTCTACGAGTTGCGTGACCTCAGACTTCTTGACGTCAAAGCCCAGCGCTCGCATCATGACCTACGCCTGTGATGCATCACTCGTCGTTGTTGCAGAGGATGACCTTGAGCTCGTAGTGGTCGACCGTGCCACTCTTGTTGATGTCAAAGAGCTCAAACGCCTCCATGAGCTCCTTTTTCTGGTCCTCGGAAAGCTCTTGCCTCGGCTTGCGCCGCACGAGGAGCTTTGCAGACCCGCTCAAGTTGTCGCGACGAAGCATCGTGCCACAGGATGTGAGGTTCTTCAACCGAGTTGACTGTTCAGGATCCTCCAAATTGGATTGGTGCAATTGAATTGATTCTGGCCAATCATACGCGTAGAAAGACGCGCGATCTTGAACCAAGAACCAAGGCTACGATTGAATAAATACCAGCATGACCCTCTACTACTCCTTCCTACTACAATATATATACCAGCTACGCATCTACGCTTCTTCCTTGAACTCGTCGTCGTCCGTCGTAGTCGAGTCCATCTCGACCTCGGCGCACGCCAGCGGCGACTTGGCGGTCGTCTGCGGCACCACGACAGCCGACGCGTCACCGTTGTCGTCGTCCATGTCACAAGAAACGTTGAGCTCAAACTCGGCAAAGTTTTCGCCGGACGAGAGGAAGAAGAGGGAGTCGTCGTCCTTGAGATCGTCGCACCCAATAGCCGCTCGGCGTGCCTTGGAGAGCCCGTCTTCGCCTTCAGGCTCCATATCGCCGCCCTTCGCAATCATGTCAAGGGTCTGCTTCCACTCCGTCGTGTCGTCGCAGCCGAGGCAAGCGCCGTAGAGTGGCGTCGGGCTTTGGATGCCTTCGTCAGCCGTTTGCCGACCCGCCGTGTCGTCTTCCGAGTCCGAGTCGCCGTACTCGCCGAGGCCGTACATGCATTGGATGTCCATCTCATTCGACTCCCTTCGGTGGGCGATGATCATGTTGACCTCGGCTTCGACGGATTCGAAAGAGGTCTCTTCGCAGCCCGCGTTGCCGAGAATGACAGCGCGTTCTTGAGGGTCCAGGTATCCTTCTTCCATGTAGTTTTGCCGGCAGACCCGGCTAAGTCCAAGAGATAATGAGATAGGGTTGGCTTCGGGCGCGCGCCTACACTTTTTGGCGTTCCAGTTCAAACGAGTCGAGCCGCCGGCGAATACGACGACGCTCTTTGTTGGAAAGGCCCACCTATCAGACACGATCAGAATACAAGTATTCACCGATAGAAGCATACCGGAACGCCGCCAGACGTCACGGTCGTGGTAAAGATGGTCGGCTCGAACTCGACAATCTCTGCGCCTTCAAATCCGACGCTGCGCGTGCGCTTGAGCTCCTTCTTCGGTTCAGTTTCCTTGGCGACCGGCCGCGGACTGGACACGGGCGTCTTGCTAAGGATGGTCTGCGCTCGCTTGGCGAGCGAGTCGCATATGGCGATGGGCGACGACGGAAGTGGCGGCGAGGCGACCATGACAAAGGACGATGCCATGCTGGGTCTACTAAGAGATAGTATGCATGATGAGCCTCCATGTGCCCTAGGCCATGAAGCTACCTGTAGGGCGAGGGGCGAGGGCGGCGACGGATCGGGGCACGTGCGCTTTGGCGTGCCAATCTCAGAATTTCCAGCAATTTGAAAATCGCCCCCAATTTCTGTCCTTTATATTATTACCCTGCACGGCGCATGCATTTTTATTCCCGTGCGCCATATTTCTGGCCCCATTTGACGCGAGGGGAGGTTACGGCACCCAGCATAAAGAATCGTATACAATAGCTATAGCCAATCACAGAAGCTTCGCGACTTGATACGCCAATCAGCACAAGCCAAAATATGGAAGCAGACCGAGAGCCAGTGTCCACTGTCGCAGCACCGACGTATTCGTGTCGCTTTTCTTATGTGGCAATACAGAATTAGGCTAATTGTAAAATTATGTCACGAATGCGCCATTTTCTAGCCAGCCGGACGGCCTAAATCCGGTTGGTTTCTAACCGTTTGCGTAAGTACGGCTAGGAGCAGTCTTCCCGAAGATTCCTTCGGAAGCGGACTTTAAAGGGATGTTGCCGCAGAACCGGCAGCATCTGGTTAAGTGCGGGATACGCGCTCATTTACTGGTGAAGAGCAGAGTGAATTGCCTGCCATGTCAAGCAGCTGGACCGACACCGAGTTCAAGGCCGACGAGTCCTTCGACGCCAACTCGTTCCCGACGTCGTCGCCGGGCTTCTCGCTGCCGGACTTCGGCAGCACGTCGAACGTCGACCTTGGCGTCATCTCGCCCGTCTTCGGTGTTGCCGACAACGCGTCGTCGGCCGCTGACTACCTCGAGTATGACGTCAAGGGCCGTGGCTTCCACGAGCGCGCGACGCATACCATTGGTCTCTCTTACTTTGGTGGTATTATCGGTGGCGGCGCCTACGGTGCCCTCGAAGGTGTCCGCAACAGTCCCAGCCGCAAGTTCAAGGTGCGCATGAACTCGCTCTTCAACGCTGCGGGCCAGCGCGGCTCGCGCGCCGGCAATGCTCTTGGCGTCCTTGGTACAACTAATCTTTACGGCGAGCAACCAATGCTAAACACGTGCAATTGTAGCGCTCATGTACTCGGGCTGCCAGGAAGTCGTCGATACGCTTGAGCTCGACCAGTATGGTGTCTTTGATAAGGCGTTGCCGATCGTTGCGGCGGGCGCCACGGGCATGATCTACAAGTCTACGGGTACAGCTTGACACGGTCTTGGAGGCAGAATCTCATCATGCGCATTCTAGCTGGTACGCGCCCGATGCTTATGGCTGGTGCCATTGGCGCAATCTTGATGGGCGGTGTCCAATTTGGCGAAAGCGTCCTCGGCGTGCGCTACTAAGCATGCGACGTGTTTGTATTTCTTCCTAGAGACCTCGTAAGTTAACACGAGTCGGTTGCGCCTCGTGCCTCGCATCTCGGTATGGGATTCCTCCCCAGACGACACTGGTTAAAGGCCACTCAAGTCCCTTGCTGCATATACCGGTACTACAAGGCAACACCTATGCATGCAGTGTCTGCTATTTCGATCTCGATCGCGCAATGTCCCAACGTAAAGCATGCATACAAGTCGCTCCATGTATTAGTATCAAGCCGAGATTGGCGACGGAAGGACCGTGGCGTTATGACCAATGACGTGAGCAGAGCCCTTACTGCGATCAGCAACACGAAATCGAGGACGGCGCATGGGCCGACTAACTACCCTACGCGGAGTGGGCGTGGAGCCAAAGCGCCCAGTTGACGGCGAAGTCGGCGTACGTCTTGACCGAATCAAGCGGGTGGCAGTCTTCGGGGTACCACAGCACGCGCGTTTCCACACCGTGGTGCGACAGCGAGTCGTTGAGCTGGAGACCTTCGGTCGGCGGCACGCGCAGGTCCTTGGCGCCGAGACCAAAGAGCACGGGTGTCGAGACCTTGGTGAGGCCGTTGGCCATTGGCGACATTTCCCACATGCGCGCGAGGCACGCGAGGCGGTTGCCGTTGTCGCCGACCGTCGGGGTCACGGCCGCCGTCGCGACGAGTGACTCGAACGCGCCAAGGCCCGTGACTGCAAGGCCCCAGTCCGGAATGTCGCTCGTGAAGATCTGGCTCACGACATTCGTCACGGGGTTTCGAAGCACAGCCGAACGGTAGTAGCCCGGGTACTGACCAATGAGGTGGGCGCCGAGAAAGCCGCCGTGCGAGCCGCCCGAGACATGGACTTGGTTCGCGTTCAGCGTACCCTTGTATGTGTCGAGGACGTGGAGGAGCCCGCGGTGGCAGTCGCCGACGTCCTGCGTCCCGACGCGCCCGACAAGCGATTCGAGTGCGAGGCGGCCGTAGCCCGTCGAGCCGCGGTAGTTGACCGTCACGACGGCGAACCCAAGCGCACAGAGGTAGTCATACGGTGCACGGGTAGGTCGCTGGTGCGTAGCCGTGCGGGCCGCCGTGGAGGTCGAGGACAACAGGGAAGCCGTCGGCGGGCGCTGGCGTCGACGGGAGGACCACGATGGCTTCGTACGGCGCCGAGCTTTCGACTTGCGGCAGCAGCGGCGTCGAGCTCGCGGCCAACGGCGAAAAGTGCGTGCCTGGAATCGCCACGGACGGCACAGCTTCCACTGCCCACGACGCAATGTGGCGCGTCGGCGCCTGGTCGTCGAGGAGCATTCGGCCGACGACATTTAGCGACGTCGCGTCCAGTTGCACAATGTACACGGCCGGTGGTGCCACCGGTGTGGAGACGGCGACGAGCGCTGTGGTCCCTGTGACGTCGAGAAGCGTTTCGTGGCCCGTCGAGTCGCCGAGAAGGTACGTCGGAGACGACACGACGCCCGATCCAACGTGGATACGCTTCCAGATGCCACGGGCGCCAACCTCCGTGTTGCAGAGGATGTGTTGGCCGTCAACCGACCAACAACGGGGAAGCAGCGCGTTCATGTAGAGACCGTTGAACGCCGACGACGGCGTCGACGAGTAGCCAGGTGTCGGCTCGTCAACAACATCGACCACGATGCGCTCGGCGCGCGACGCGAAGTCGACGACGCAGAGAAGACTCGTCGTGTTGTGCGTCGGGACGTCGCGCGTGCCGAGATAGGCTACGGAGCGGCCGTCGGGCGACACGCGCGCCGACCGCGTCGTGCCGCAGACCGAATCGGGCACGAGCGGCGCAGCGACAGCATCGTCCGTCCCAAGTGGCAACACGTACACGTGCTTTACGCGGTTGTAGCAGTAGATGAGACCGAGGCGGCGCGTCGTGGCGATACCCGTGAAGAGAAGCATGTTGGCGCCCGCGTGCAACTCGAGCTCCGCAATCGTAAGGTCGTCGGGGACGCCGGGCACCTCGTCGATCTTGCCGGATGCCAACGATAGGCGAAAGATGCGCGATGTGCGCTTCCCGACGTTCTGTTCACCCCAGTCGGGCTTGCGGTCGTACTGCGTGCCCCGGAGGTCGGCGTCCGTTGCGGGCGTCGGCTTGCTGTTTGCGTTCGCCCAAAAGGACTTGCCCTCCTTCTCCTTGCGCTCGGCGAGGTAGTACACACTCGACTCGTCCCCCGACCACACAATCGATCCGTCCGTGGGGCCAGTGTAGAGCGCGCCGTGAAGGTCCTTGGTCGTGTGGTGCACAGCCACCAAGTGGTGCGCGTCAAAGAAGCTGAAGCGGTACGTCTTGTCTTCGGCGTCCGTCACGACGAGGCGAAGCTTCTGCGAAGGCGACACGCTCACAGCCTTGGCGTCGTAGCTCGTGGGAAGACCGCGGAAGACCGTGTCGCCATGGACGATGTGCTGTGCCTGCGTCACAACGTTCGTGCCATTGATGAGGTCACGCTGCTTCCAGACGAGCGTCGCGTGCACCATGCCGGGCGCCGTCGAGACGAGCGAGCCGCCTGCCAAGATGCGCTGGCCGCGCTCAATGTCTGTGAGCAAGTCACTAGCCTTGGTTGCGTAGGCTGCGGTCTCTGGCGTCATGTTGCTTCGGCGGGGATCGCAAAATGGACAGCTCCCCGTCCATGTACGGATAACGGGGGAACTGCAATTACGGATACGAGGCAACTTGAGCACAGGGCGGCAGATACAAGTATACTAGTACTAACGTTAGTGTTGCCCTAGGCTCGCGTGCGGCCGCACACGAGAGTGCTGCACCAAGTCAAAGCATTTGGTTTTGCCAAGGACATATGCATATTCATGCATTTGGTCTCGCGTACACCAGAAAGAGCGACCGACAGGGCTCCAAACGCGGCTGCAACACGAGCTCTCCGATGGCTTTGCCAGTCGACGTGCGAGTGCGCCTCCAACCGACATTGTCAAGCGTTATTCGGACTCTCAATGCGCAGATGCACATTGCAACAATAGTGTTGCTGGACGCGCCGCTGGTTTGTTTAATGAATAGAGAGTAGTTGAGTGCGCGAATAACCCTGAGCTGGGGTGGTGTGCTGCATCCAGCTCTACACGACAACGTCGGTATCGGAGGGGTGAAGGCGCATTTTTCTCGGCATTTTTCTCGACAGTTCAAGATACCGGTAGAAAACGGAGAGGGCGTACGTTGAGAAAGAACTGGTATCGGTTCGCATTTATGTGTTTTCTTCCTCTTCTTCCTGGTCGGCGCGTTTTCCCTACAGTGAAGAAAGAAGCGTGGCACGGTCCGAAGAGCAGCAGCTTTAAGCATCAGCTCGGGGTTCGAAGCAGCGCGATTTTTGTCAACAATCGGCGACGCACCATGAACACGCAATGTGACGCGGGGTCTACGATGCACCCGATTGGCGCCTTGAATAATGGCTTCAATGAAAAGCGGAAGAAAAATGCGTCGCCTTGGGCAGCTGAGAGGCGTACATGGCTGCGAATGCTCCATCGCGTTTGCCTCGACGTACGCGGTCGCGTACGTTGAGCAACTCGCTTCGTCAAATGGATGATCGTATCGAGTCTATCTTTATTTGTGGACACGAGACATTGTGTTGCGTTGGTTAAAGGCAAACGTTTGAGTCGCACTTTGCCTTGCTGCACGAAAGTGGTATCGTAATACTAGTACACTATATTTCACTCCCGACCATACTGTACATATTTGCTTATATACACTGTATCGAGTAGGTACCAAAACATTCCTGCATCGATGTTCAACAAGAAAAACCCAGGGTATGCTACAGGGTATGCTACCTGTTCCATTCAATGGAGAGTAGATTGCTCTTCTTCCCGCGATTATCTGTCGTCTGTCCTCACCACGTCGCGGGCCTGGACTTCAATGCGTTGAAGGTCCAGACCACCTGCTGTGGACTAGACCAGATGAGTTGAAGTTGTGATGAGACGGCCCATCGGACAAATGGACACAAGATTTGCGACGACGAGGCTTTGTGGGTGTTGGGGCCAGTAGGTTGCACATAGAATATCCTTTTGTTCTGCCTTCTGCTTCTACAATTTGTATGCTTGGCATTTCTGCACTCGTCCAGTGCTGATACTGTGGACGTAGAGGCGCCCCGCATGCATGGTTCTGGCGCGGTTACTCAACACCGCCCGAGAAAAACGATTCTGGTTCAGTCGTATCTGATACGAGTCCTGACCTGATAAGCTCAATCTAGACAGTCGAGACCAGTTCAAGACCACGCCCATTGCGTCCTTTCCAGACCCACTCACGTAGACGTGTCAAAAAGCACCGTGTCATCGAACCGCGGCGAGCACTCCCGTCGTATTGCTGCTGATGCTTGCTTACGATGCGTGTGACGCGTTGATCGTTGCCTATCTACCGGTACCATTAATTGATGCCCTACAGTACGTACAGTACCACTGCTACTCTACAGTACGGTACTGGTACCTAGTCAGCTCTGAGCAAGCAAACAAGTACCGAAACGAGCTTCGAACTGTTAGTTGGGCTTGTGTTTCTGCGAGGCGCGGCGGTAGAGAAGGAGGAATAAGACCAACCACGTCTTTTTCACAAGTCTGCACTTGAGAGATTCCACGCACAATCTCATAGACAAGCCATACCTTTTGGTGCCACGCTCACGTCGCCTTCAACCACAGTGTAGAGGTGGCATCATCACGCAACGGGCGCCGGTGCATACACGTGGTTGGCGACTTCTGGTGCAGAGTCCCACCGTAGTCATCTTGGCTGTTCGCCTCTGCATTGTACGTCCAAGCGCAAAACGATAGTAAGGACCTGGTGCGCACACTTGCCGGGAGGGGGCGGGACTAGTGTTGGTATGTCGATGATGCAGCCCTTGAAGAAGGATAACGTCACACACCTCGGTCTCCTTGTACGGCCGCGACATGCCGCTGGAGCATACCAGTACCCAAGATTCAGCGATGCCACCCAAGAGTCCAGTCACCAAGTGTGGTAATCGTATCCAGGGCTTCCGGTCGCGCTGTCGTCTGTCCGACGTGTTCCAGCCTACACATGCAGAAATGTGTGGCCCTCGGTGCGTGATGCGATTGCAGTTGGAATCATTCTGGTGTCGCAGTCGCGCAAAAACATGCTCCAACTCTCTTCGGACACGCAACGTACGAACCCGGGCGGTGGCACTGTCCCACTCTCGCGACGCCATGTCCCTGGCGCCATACGAACTTCAAGAGTCGTCGGTAAAGGCCTGCGGCTGGTACCGAATTACTCCGGCAGGAACCATTGGCTTCGGGGCTTTCGCCAGCGCAGCACTGCGGCAGATGGTCTCTGTTTAGGTAAGCCGTGCATAGCTACAAGGACCGCGTGGACCTGTCTTTTTCTATATTCTTGAGAATGAATTGCCTTCGAAATATGCACTCTGGTATGTTGTTCGACGTCGGGGTCGTACTTCTGCAATTGAGTATACTTTGACCGTGCAAGGTCTTTTCCCCGTCAAAGCTGAAACCTGTGACAAATGCATTTCGATATCGAAGCTACCATCGGCATCTGCCCAGCTGTGACATGCACGTCAAGCTCAGTGTTAAATCCGCTGCCGCCCCCGTCGGCCACGGACATCACCACACACCAAAACGATGGTGACGAGCGCCATCTCGGTCGAGTTCTCGCAATACTGCAAATGCGACAGCATCTTTGAAGCCAAGTACCTCCGGTAAGCATGACCGTCTTCCCCAATGGTCTTCTCATGGCTGCACCATGGCTTCAGAACGCATCGGTCCGGCGGCACCAAGGTATAATATAGCGCCGTGTTTGCATCGTCGTCTCAGCCATTGCATTAGGTCCTGCGGTACGCTGCGAGATTGCGCCTGGCGCCTCCAACGTCGACTGTTGTAGATGCTTTCCCCACTGCTGCCCGTCGCATGTCTTCAACAGTGTCTGCGGCACGTCTGTCGTCGCGCGCGTGCACGGCCCCGCGGACCGCGTCCAGCAGTCCATGACGTACCTTCGCTTCGAGGCGTCGTACGAGCGGCCGTTCCAGGTCGGCGACACGCTCAGCGAGCAGACAATTTTGTCCAACCTCCGTCGACAGACGCACGCAATCGGCGAGTGGATTGCGAGTCAGTACGATGTCTTTGACGACGTACGCCATTGGCTTTGACGTAGCCATGGCTCATGCGCCCTTGAAATAGAAAACGTCGGTGCGCGTCAACGAATTCAGCCCCAAGGCCACGTCGTCGCTCGGGTGGCACTACCGCTGGGTCGGCGGCTCAGCGCGCCAGCAGCGTCGCGCGACCCACTGCCTTCGCGTACAAGTCAAGTGTTTTCTCACCCTTCACTGATGGCAACACTGTAGGCCTATGTCTTTGAGCGCTTCTTCCACCACAACGTCTCGATGCTGCGGGTGGTTGCGACGACACAATCGCCGACGTTCATCGTCATGTCGTACCGGCGCGCGTGCAAAGTGTGCCAGCGCCAGACGCCGGAGGACCTCGAGAAGACGTCGGCGCAGTGTCAGTGCGAAGGCATCTATCGTGTCTCGAGCCACGGCTCCGACAACGACGACGAAAATATGACACCGCCATCGTCGATCATGAGCATGCAACAAGACGCGATGCCGTCGGCGCTCATTTCGGACATGGAGCATGCGTTCTCGATCATCTACTACTACCTCTCAACGCTCGACGTACCTGCGTTCGCCGCGCAGCTCGCGATGCTGGAAGAGACCATGCAGCAGTGCTTCTTCCACGGTACCGGACCCAACATCTCGTCGCCGCTCTTTCAGCCCTTCATTCGTGCTCCGTCACCGCAAGCCAAGGGCCTTGAAGCCTCGATCGCGTCTGCGTGCATGCTGTTTATGAGCCAAATCACGACGCACATGCCGGCCGTGCGCCACTTTTTCGGCTCGAATGCAGCGTGCTTGCTCAACAAGCGCGACCTTGAGAAGAAGTACCTCGCGTGGATACGCTTTGCGTACGAGACGCTCAACCCGAGCGTCGCGCCGCTAGACACGACGCTGCTGCACTTGGCGCAAGACATTCTGCGGCTCGTTGAAGACCCGCTCGCGCAGCGCCCCAACATTTCGCTCCTCCGGCACAAGATCCAGACGTACCACCCAACGCTTGCGTTCGAGTGGTTTGTCGCACAGATGCGCGAGATGTATCTTGTACGTGCCTTTGGTTGGCATCTGCATGAGACTGACGTGGGGCTCGATAGGCGATCAACTCGCCGATGCCGTCGACCACGACGCCGTCGCCTCTCGATGGCCGCTGGCGCTGGACGTCAACGAACGTCTCATTCCTTGCCGATTCGTCGCCGCCATCCTTCTTGACTATCTTTCGCGCTCTCTCAATGGGCCTCTCGGTCCAGCAGATTGTCCAGGGCACGTCGCTCTTCGTACGTACCTCGTTTCGCTTGGCGATGGAGTGCTAACTATGGGCTTCTAGATCACCTCGGAGCACGCACTCTTCCCCACGATTTGGTCCGAGTTTGTCCTCGATGGTCACCCGCACATCCTCCGAGTATTTGCCAACGGTGAAACGACAATGTCGTGCGTCTCGGACTTCATGTACGGCGACTACGTCGGGCGCCTCGGCCCTGAGGACCCGCAGACAGTTGAGCTCACGCTCTACTGCTGGCCCGCGGCCGTCCTCTCAGTAAACCGCCACTGCTACGCGATCCGCCTCCAAAGCGTCTTGCATGGCCCGAACACACTTTCGTGCCGCGTGCAAGTGACGTCTGCGCTCGAAGACAAGAAGGTCGACTACTGGGGCATGGACATTAGCGAACGCATTGCGTCCTTCAACGTGCGCGACGAAGCCCCCGTACTCGAGCTTACGCTGCAGTACGCGCGCCGATGAGTCTGTCCATACCTCCTGTTAGCCAATAGAAAAACCGCTAGTACCAACCAGGCAAGTGTCTATGTCCATCGTAGGATTTGGTTACGGCGATGTTGAAGCTATATCCCTAGCAGGCGCAAATGAGATCGTCTCTCGAGTCCGAGCTCGTAGGATTCAACTGAGGGCATATTAGTATACAGCGACGCAGCTGTCTAAAGTGTACGCAGGCCAAGGTCGTGGCATCCGTCGTCCATGATCCCAACGTTTTGCATTGCCCCACGTGGATTATCTTGCCTCTAGCCAGCAGGCCAATGTCGCCACGACAGCTCCGTGGTGAGGAATGCCTTCCGAGTCCGAAGACACTTGCTGGCGAGAGCATTAACACCCACTGGCATCAACACCCACTTCGGCGTTGTCGAGGCGCGAGCGTTGTAGCAGTACGTTGAAGTGTTCCGCGTCCCAACAGTTGAAGGAATTTTTGCATAGGCACATCGCATTATTGGCCTCACCGCAAGAACGACACACTGGTTGTGGTAAGCAGCTCCAGCAGTGAGCTAATCCCGATGGTCAAATTGGCCGGTAAGGCGACCTGCAAGTCTCTCCGCGGAGTCTCGCGAAACTTGAGCTCGGTCAGCGGCTCAGCAAGCAGATTCGATGGTATGGGCATGGCGGTAGCATTGATATCTCGTACGATGTCACTCCTGCACAGGAAGCTTGCACAGGACGGGCAGATTTCTCGCCAAGGTTCTCTCGTCCGGATAAAGATACAATTCGGACCGGATAACGATCGTTTCTCATGGACGACGGCAACAACAGCGCTCCACGGCCAACTATCAGTGCGCTCCTCGACGACTTCCTGCCTGCTGGTCCGCCATCAAGCGAGCTGCATGAGAGGCCAGCAAGGCGCGCGGTAGAGCGTAGCTGGAGTGGCCGTCTTCTTGGCCTCGTCCAGAACGCCATGCGGCTTGCGCGCGGGTGCGACTACGACGCCGAAGTCGAGACGGTTCGAGCCGCGATCGACGAGTACCGACTGCATCTGACCGAGATACTTGTCGAGCGTGAGGCCTCGTACGAGGCTGCAGTCGCTGCACACCGTCGCTTGTCCACGCAGTGGGCCGCACGTCTCCGTCCGCTCGCGCCTGAAGGCCTTCCTCGAACCTGCGTCGAAAAGATACGCTTCCTCAGCGTGCTCATGCTCTCAGTCACCTCACTGCAAGTAGAAATGGAGGCGTGCGTTGTGGATTTGCTCCGGTCGCGGCTCCAAGCCACCGAGGACCTCGTGCAAGCCCTTGCCTCGAGCCCGACAAAGCATCTCGTGGAGGCCATACTGGACGCCACGTGGACATCACCGGTCACGAGCCTCATCGAAAGCAACGTTCCGCATTCAATGCTACGACACCGACGAACGCACCTCGAAGCAGCTATGCGCCACGCGTACAGCGTCATCCTCGCGATGCCGACGAACGACGAGGAGCTTGGGTGCGTGGATGCGGCGAAGCCAAAAGAAGTGGCGACTGTTCTCGGTGCCCTGCAGGCTGCGACATCAGCAGCAGCGTCCTCTGGTGGTCGATTCCCCGTGTCCCACCTCAATGCATTTCGGCGCTGCGTCAGTGACACCCGAACACGCTGCGGTCGGCTGCTACGCGACTGGGCAGCGAAGCTCCTTGCGGATGCCGAGGCGACATTCGGGATCGAGTCGGGGAATAATGCGTCGGATCTTGACCACGTCTTCGTACCCGGCCTGACGAGCTTGATTCCGGCAACGACGGACCGCATCTATGTCACGGGCATCCGCGTCACGCACCTGCCGCCGCCCAAGACACTCCTCGCCTTTGAACGTTATTTTGCACTTCGGGTGCAGGATGAGTTTCAGTGTCCGACTGGCGAGGGGGCTGCGTCGTCCGCCTTGCGCATGTGCGTCCACCATACGGTTTTCTCGGCCATCGCCAAGATCGCCGCAGCCTATGAGGTTCAGACCACCCCCGGCTTTTCCCGCCAACTCTACCATTTCGGCCACGCCACCTCGAGCGTCGATTTGACGACCCTTGGTGCTCCCGCAACCGTGGTCGCTGCTGGGAGTCTTCCAGCGACTGAGGCTGCGATCGCTCGCATCGCTGTCGAAGTCACACCAGGCGGTGTCGTCGCTGCCGTGCTCGACGCCATGCACACAATGCACAATGAGGTTGGGCAGCTAGGATGCCCATCTCTGAACGCAGACGTGCTCATCCCGCTGCTCATCTTTGTCATTGCACGGGCGAACGTGCCGGCCCTCCTCCGTCGCCTCGCACTTGCCTCAACGTTTTCTTTCGATGACGGCTCCGAGGCAGGTGCGTTTGCCCGAGCTGCTTGATCGAGTTTACACATCTTCGCGTAATAGCTTACTACCTCACGTGCATGCAGGCCGCCGTCTCAGTTGTGCTGGGCGACGCCACGCACTGCGCCACCTGCGCCGACGCCTTTGACAGTCTCGTCGTCGCCGAGGTATCGACGCCACCGGAAGCTACTACTTCGTCGCCTCCGCTCGTCGACATGGCCGCCCTCTCGGCGTGGATCGCCACCCGGCGGGTTACCGAGGAGACGCTTCTCCTAGTCGAGGCGTGGATGGCCTGAATCTTTGTAATAAAATAAATCTTCTTTGGATCCGCGTCTATTTATAGCAGCGCAGCTTCGATTCGAAGGCACTCGGGATATTAATACCCTGGTCTGTTTGGAATATAAAATTGCGGGAAATCAAAGACATTGGAGGAATTGTATAGGCCCGTCCATAAAATCACCGTGGAATCGCACGTTGTGTTCAACGAAGAGGAGCGGCCACCTGGTGGGACCTGCCATACAAACGCCAAGTAATCCGGAACCGGCGCGGCCTGGGCGCCCAGGCCATACTTGATGTTTGTATTGCACCAGCTGCTTTCGAAACCTTCCGCGCCATCTCCACGGCTATCCGATAGTCAACCCAAGGTGATCGGTTTTACGCGTCCGAGGTGCAGGTTAAAGACGCGTTTTTTGGGCCAAACGTGGCACGACCAGTGGGTTTTTCGTTTTTCCAGCGTTCGATATTTTGAGCAACTCGAACATAGCAATCATTTGACAACTCGCGCGACCCGAGACAGACGAGCCACGATGGCAACGACAATACTGGACGCTACACCCAAGACTCTCACGTGGGCGACTGATATCGACCGCTACACGATGGACCTCGTGCAGTGGCAGTCGGCCAACGACTTGCCTGAGCGACGCCTCATGGTGCAGCGCATCATCGCCATGACGAGGCGCACAAAGCCGCGGGGTGCCAGCGACGTCTGGGATGAGAAGACGCCATCGCTCGCTAAGCGCATCGAGCTCAGCCTCTACAGCCGCGCTGCGTCATTTGAAGAGTACAAAGACGTCAACACGCTGCGCCGGCGCCTCCAGAGCCTCGTGTCTCTAAGCTACCACGAGGCCGCAACGGCCAAGCACAAGCGCAAGAACATGCACGAACCCGCCACCAATGACGAGTGCCCTCGGTCCTCGCGACAGAAGACGAGCTCAACGGCCGAGCCGTCGGTCTTCTTGTGCCACAACGACGATATTGTACGCCATGTGTACAGCTTTCTGGATGGCGCAGACGCACTTCGACACGTCGCGGTCTGCAGGAAGGCCGCCCAGCTGCTGCCTACGTGCGTCGTGACGCTGCGTGTGACGGTGCGCGCCCTTGCATCCGCGTTCGAGCTCCAAAAGGAGGCTTTCCTGGTCCAATTGAAGAACCTTGAGGGCCTCGAAGTGTACAACCCATCGAAGATCAGCGACGACAACTGCATGGACAGCGATGTTGCGCTACATGCCTGGGGCTGCAGCGAACTCGACATCTCCCAGGACAATGTCGGCGAGCGCGTCGTTTCGAAGCTCGCCAGCGCTTTTTTCCTGGGTGCGGGTGCTAAACTCCGTCGCCTGCGCCTTGTCTCGTCGTTCACCAACACATGTCGGGATAACGGAATCCACGCGCTCTGTGGCGCCCTCCAACGCGGCGCGACACCGCTGCTCGAAGATCTCTTGCTCGGGGGCAACAGCTTCTCAGACTCAGGCACTGTCGACATCGCCGCTTTGCTGCGGACCGGCGCGGTGCCGAACCTCACGCGCCTCGACCTGCGCCGGAATTACATTGGCGAGTCGGGCTTGAAGCGCATCATGCAAGCGCTAGGCGCCGGGACGTGTCCGCAGCTCAAGTACCTCTGCATGGGCGGCAACATCATTACAGACAACAGTGTCGCGCCCGTTATCGCTCTCCTATCGAGCACGCTCTGCCCGCAGCTGCGGTTCCTTGGACTCGAAGACAACTTTATTAGCGCTCGCGGCGTACAAAACATTATCCAAGCCGCTGTCTCGGGCGGCATGATGCCCAAGCTGCACAAAGTCACGGGCGCCCCGACCATGGCCGCTTGAAGGCCGCCCGTACCCTGTCACTTGCTTCGTTATCTATTCTTAAGTTTATTATTCGCGCACATAGTACACCAAACAATACATGATGCGTTGCCGCCGTCTCGTGTTCGCCTGTCCATGCAAGTCGGGAGCGGAGGCTGTCTGCTGAGTACCGGTAGAGCAGCAAGTGGCCGATCCTCCTCTGCACGGATTCTGCGCACGCTGCGAGTGGCCACGATCACCTTGGGTGCACGTAATACATGACGCCCGACGTCACATGGCAGACGACCCGCGCTGCATCACGAGTTGTCTTGGAGGCAGGTCGTGCTGTCCATACCACCAACGACCACTGGCGCATCCATGGCCCTTCGCGTCGAATCGTATAAGCAGCTATACTGCGTGCCACCAGGAGGCGCCGAGGACACGATGGCTCTACTCTCTCGGTCGCGGCTATTACCGGTAGGCTGGTTGCTGCCGTCGACTTCTAGAAACCTGCGGCGTAACGGTTGACTCATCCGGATGACGTTACCGGAGAAGCCACTCTTTGCGATGCCATCGGAGGTCGCGTCCTTCTTCGGCGGGCCGCTCGCGGTCAACGTCTTCCTGCTGGGCGCTGCCGGAAACCTCTATGTCTTCCAGCGCATGGGCTTCCCGCTCGAACGCGTCATGGGCGCCAAGGACGGCGACCTCCCGACGGCGCGTGGCCTCGGCGCCTTTGCGGCGCTCCTCTTCGGCATCCTCGGGCTGCTCTACATCGCCTTTCGCCGCAGCCTCGTGCTCGTCATGGCCAAGTTCCACGAGGTCGCGCTCGTCTTCTACTGTCTGGTGGTGCTGCTCTTGCTCTTCGCGCCGTTTGATGTCTTGCACCGGCGCGCGCGCATGTTCCTCGGCAAGAAGCTCTACAAATGCGTGTTTCCGCTCTCTTGGAAGGGCACGGCGACGCTGCGGCTGCCGATGACCGAGACGCCATTCGTCGAAGTGTTTCTCGCCGATGGGCTCACGTCCATGTCCAAGGTCTTTTACGACGTTGCGGTCGGCGTCCTCATGCTCATGGAGTCCCTGGACGGGCGCCATTCGGACTGGTACGGCGCCAAGATGAAGCCCCACCCGCTGCCGTATCTCTGTGCAGCGTGGCCATATCTCATTCGCGCGACGCAATGCCTCATCTCCTACCGCCGCGCGCCCCTCGCCAACGACAAGTTCTTGCATCTCCTCAACACGTTCAAGTACGGAACGGGCCTTAGTGTCATCGTCGTCGGCGCGCTCCCTGCGATCTTTGGCACGGCGCCTGCAAGTACGAGCTTTCTTGTCCTCGATGGACAGACCATGTTCCTCCTCTGCGCGTGCTGCAACTCCCTCTACTCGTTCTTCTGGGACGTCGTCATGGACTGGGGGCTTTGCCAGCCAGCTCCCGCGCCGAGCCGAGACCTCGAGAGCCACGTCGTCACACCAGTGCAGCACTACCCGTACTTGCGTCAGCAGCTCCACTACAAGAGCCCGTTTGTGTATTATGTCGCGATGGGTGTCGACGGCGGCCTTCGCATCCTCTGGGCAACGTCCAACTGGGAGTGGGTCGACCTCGTCGGCGCCGAGTTCAAGGTCGTCATGCAAGTCGCAGAAGTGCTACGCCGCTGCATGTGGAACTGCTTTCGCGTCGAGTGGCAGTGTGTGAAGCACGGCTTTGAGCTCCGGCCGGCCGACGTCCAGAAAGCCTCCGGTCTGCTCCGGAGCCGCAAACCAAAAAACAGCAATGACAAGCTCAATGTGCTCGAAGAGACAGCGACGACGCTGGACGCCGACAGTGATGCAGACGACGATGTTGACGACACTAGACCCTTGCTTCATTACCAGCCTCTGAGCCCACGTAAGCATGCTACCAAGCCTTCCGACGACCAGAAATTTGTGGCGTAGAACGATAGGACACAACGGGTATTTAAGGCAATAGAGTCCAGCTTAATGGCCCTCGGAGGCCTCGACTGCCTTCTTCAGCGGTGTCAAAAGCACTTGAAGGTCGTCCGCCAAGTCGAGAAACGCACCGACGGTCGCCGTGTCTTGGGCAATGAGCGTCGTCACGAGCGGAAGGTGGTTCAGATGGATGAGCACTGTGTCGTCGAAAAAACACGTGACGGACTTCATTGCGCCAAACTGGAGCTTCCCCGCCTAGGAGAGACTTTGGCCGTCCGATCGAGCACCGAGACCAGACCTGCTCAGCAGCGGCAGCGAATACGCTCGGAAGCACCGTCTCAGCATCTTCAAGCGGATGGTCGGCTTCACCCTCCGGCTCAACTACTACGAGTCAGGCTCCATGATGGCGCATCGTACGTACCGCGCAGGAGCGGGACGCCTTCGGACGTCGAGACGAGGATCGCCGTAAGCGACTCGTACCTACGATGGTCCATGATACGGCTGCGCCGAGCAGGCATGATGAAGCTACCGCTCGAGGAGCACGCGCAACTTCTACATCCACGCGTGAGCGGTCATGGGCAGGCCTACGGAGGTACCTGTTCGACAGCGGCCTCGGACATGGTATTGGAAATGGACGATGCGAAAATGACTTCACACTATTTCAAATTCACTTTATTGCAGTTTTGACCGTTTATTAGTGTCACGCATTTGCACACCAAGAGCTCACACGAAGTTTGTCTTGACGATCAAATCACGATCGTCAGTCAGTACAAGGGCATACTAGTACCAGTGAGCATTTGTTTCCCTTATCCCTAGTCAGTGCCAAGACCGGGACAGCATCCATGTTGTCCGGGGAAGCTTTTCGTCACGCTTGACGGTTGAAAAAACGACATCACGGGCGTCCCGATACCAAGAGCACAGACCCATTCGGGATATCCGTAGTGTAGGCAGCAAGCTCAGGCACGCACGGCAACTACATAGTTGGCTTCGCAATCCTAGTCATACCAGTCGTAAGATGGGGCCATCAATCAAGAGCACAGCTTTGGTCGTGGGCCAAACGCATAAATTGTTTCAACATCCTCAAGTTGAGCACGCAACTGGGAGTGCAGCTGGTACTCATCTGATCTCTCATCCTCCCTCACAAGCTTCCAAGGGAGTTTATGGACCTTTACAGCTTCCCACAGGTTTTTGGCGTTGGTTTCGACCGTCTCAACGCGAATCGTTCATCAAATGCCCCCGCGTATCAGCGCGACGTCAGAGCCCAATACAAGAGCAAAACACACGTATTATACGTGCTCTCAGTCATGTATGGACACAGCACAACATTTATGCAGAGATGTCTCTGTTCGGAATAGCACAGTACAGTAGTGCTGGGCCTGAGCCTCGAGCATTGGAGAGAGGGAATCAGGCACCGTTGGAGTTTCGAAAAAAGCTCTCGATCAGCAAACGCGGGGCTGGCTGGCTGGTTGTGGCAGCTACATGGACAGGCAAGCATGAACACGCTGGTTGGGTGCATCAATCGACTATCACTCTCCTGTCGTACGCGCTGCCACGTCATTTCACACCATAAAGCACGTAAAACGCACTACACATTACCATGGCCGAAAACACCGCCAAGGTTTGGTATTCCCAGACTCGGCGTCACAGAAGTGTAGCGTTGGTAGCTGAAGTCGAGCTCCATAAGCATTCTTGCTTTCGGCCGCGCGCTGCTCACACAAACGGCAACGATGCGAGTAGGTCACTCAGTTCACACGCCCACGTGGATGAATTAGGCTTTTCTCACACCAGTGACAATCATTTGCTGAATCTTGGCCGACAGAATGTATGTTGCATGTGTTCGGCTGGTTCTAAGGAGCTCACTTCCCAATCTTCCGTGAGCTCGTAGCATGGTCACCTTCGCCGTCTCGTCCGTGGAGCTCTCTGCCTATAATGGCGAGGTCAGCCACAATGTGCCAATTACGTCATGCAAAGAGTTCAAGAAGGAGGGTTGCAAGGACATCGTCCAAGCAACGCCCATGAAGGCCGCGGTGGCTGCGTCGACAAGTGGCTTCGTCCGCGGCGCCATCCAGGCTTACAACCGCCACCACAACCTCGTGCTTCGACCGGACGACATCTGGCTCGCGATCATGGTCCAGTTTGGCTTGTACGTGAACGGCAACGCCGAAGAGCTCCGATCGTCGCTCGTCAAGCACGATGGCCAGAAGGAGCTCACTGTTACTACTGCTGGCAGCCTTTACTCGGTCGACTTCGGGCAGCTGTCCAAGCAAATGATCGACCAGATGGATGAGCATCTCGTGGACCCGGCACTCAAGGAGTGGGTGCTCCCCGCCTTCTCGACTACGACGGACCACGACACGATCGTCGCCAGTGTCGTGCTCATGGCGTCAATGAAGAAGTACTTCAGCTACAAGTTTGGTCTGTGCTGCGGTATTCCGCAAGTGACGCTGGAGGGCACCGCTGCCGACTGGGAAGGCATCCGCGCCCGCGTCGACAAGCTAAAGACATTCGGTGGGCCGTTGTCCGAGTGGTCGGTAATGCTGGCGCCAATTCTCGATCAATTCGTCGTCGCTGCCAAGGGCAACGCCGATGCTGACTTCTGGAACCGCATCTGCCACCGCATCGGCGGTGGCTCTGGCCCGAGCTACATTAGCGGCTGGCTCAGCGTCTTTTGCGCGTTCAACGAGGACGGAAAGTGGCAAGGCGATAAGAAGACAGTGCACTTGTACTACGGCGAGGACGTTGAGAGCGAGTTTCCGATCGTCGATACGAGCGACATCCCACCAGGGTACCTCACCGTCGACGTCAAGATTGACGACAACGGCACGCCCTATGACGCCCTCATGTTTGCGGGGCACATGGCCTTTGCCGTCAGCGACGATAAGACAACGCTCACGCCAGCACTGAGCTGGGCTATTGCTCTCAAGAACGGCGAGCCCGAGCCCGAACAGCAGCGAATGTAAAGTCGATTCTTACCTGTCATAATGCGCATCTAGTCATTTTGATCATAGTCTCGTGTGCAAGCAAGGAAGCATATTGCTGTCTTCTTGGTGCAAGCAATGGGCACTCTGTAATGCAAGCTCTATTTGAGCAAGGCACTCGGAATGCATTTACAGGCATGTGCGCCTCTTGAAACTGACACACCTACGAGGTCCTTTAACCCACATAAAAACGATTCATTGTCGGTGTGGACTGCGAAGTACACGAACTGCGACGCGTGCAGGGGTAAGCTGCCTGCAGCCCCGGTGTGGATCCGCCCATTGAAGTCTGGATTGTTCGCCTTGGCGCAAGTATCATCATCGCCGTCATGACCATGGTGTTCGTCACCATTTCCATCGTTCCCGTCGTCGTAGTCAACATCACAGTCGCCGTCATCGTTGTCGTTGATGATGAGCTGCGTTTCGAACTGCCTTAATAGCGTTGCAATGCGCTCGATGCGGTCGGCCAGATCTGGTCCTGGCGAGGCTAGCTCACCGCTGTCGTTCAATGACGTTGCGTGTGTCAGTGAGTGCGCCAAGGGTCTCAACCTACCGGCACCACAACAATGATCGTTTTGCCGTGGACAAGCTCGGTACTATGGTGGTGCGATTGTCGTGCGACCAGCGTTCGAGTCGCTATAAATTGGTCGTCGAGAGCCAGGTGACACTTGGCTTGCTCCTTATTCTAGCGCACAGAGTGGTGAGGTAAGGTGGTATCGCGATCGATGTGTGGACCTGCAGGACCACCGTCCAAGCCAAAGGAAGATCGTAATACTCAATGGTCGCTGGAATATTTTGTGAACCGCCTACCAGGACCGCTCCACCTCAACGTAGCGCTGTTTTCAACCCACCTGGTACCTCTAAATTACATGCGAACTTCAAGTCGTGTGAGGATGCTGCGTTCACCTCTGGCACCGCGTCACGAGGCGCTGCAATTCGCTTGGTGCGTACACGTCATCTCAGCCCTCTCAGTCGACGATTGCAGCACTCGATATTCATTGCCGGCCGCAATTTTCTTAGAGCACGCACCGCAGCCGGCAGTTAGAGTGTCCATGGTAGTTGCCGCGAATTTCGGATGCGCTGGAGGCAAAACTCAAGGATGGGTGTGAAACAGCATATTTCGTCTGATCCAAAACGGTGCTCTCATCCCATCGACAATGAGCACTACATCGATAATGAGCACTACGAAGAGGACGGTAAACTTGCTATGGTGAACCGATAAGATTCACTGCCTCACGTCTTGTAGAAGTGAGCTTAGCGTGGTGCTGACGAACAATAGGCAACCAGTGTTTACGTCTTAACGACATGTGGCTGCAGGAGTAGACGCTATCATGAGCAGCAAAACGCGCACGTGATCACCATCGTCAACTAAAGGTCTAACGTTAGGTTGACGTGGACCATGATGGTAGCTGCGTCGACAAGACTGATGCTTCGGTCTTCGTCGTCGTCGTCGTCGCAGCACTTCGATCACTTCTTGTTGTCAGTCGCTAGCGTCAACGCAGGAGAGCTGCCCATTTGGCTTCCGATGTCAAGTAATCATTCGCGCCCAGCGACGGCACCGCCTCCGGACTCAATGGCGGGGCGTGGGACGCCGCCATCTGCGATGCGTGTCCTTTCTACGCCAACGAAGGCGCGCTGCTATGTAAGTGCCATCGGCTTCATTTTCACACCGGACTGCTCCATGACGAAGGCGCTCGAGAAGGAATCGACGACGGTCCTCCGCGCGTGGATGTTCTCGGACGCGCACTTTTTGCACCCGTATCCGACGCCCAGCGAACGCGAGGCTCTCGCCCGAGCCGCACAGCTCACGCCGTCGCAGGTCAAAAACTGGTTCATTAACGCCCGCAAACGCCTCTGGCAGCCGCTGCTGACCAAGTTTAACGTCGCGGCATCTCCACAGAGCGGCGCGACCCGCGTGGATCCCGCGACCTGGCGGTCTTTGCAGCCTCTCCTACGACGCCTCCGCATGCCAGCACCCGTCCTGACCTCTGTACCGCAATGGAGCTCACCGGAAGAAGCGGCGTTCGTACACGCAGTCGCCCAAGCGTTTGTCGATGGCGCGCTTCAGTATCCGCGTGGGACACCGCTTCTCTCGGTGCTCTACACGGAACTCCCGACGCACAACCACTGCGCGATTAGCCCCTACGTCCGCGCGACGGGCATGGAAGCCGCGACGTATGTACCGAACGTGACGAACGCAGCGACTATTGCTAGCACCCGCGCACACCTGCAGGCGCTGCGTGCCAAAATGCCTGGCCACAGCGACAATGAAGTGGGCTGGGACGTCATTCTTGCCGTCATGGGGAAGATCTCCATGAAAGAGCTTGATGCGCTTCTCGAGGAGCTCGCTGAAGGTGGCGACGACGACTGGCGCAGTCGGTATTCGCCCTCAAAGTACTAGCTAAGCTCACTTGCCGAGGCCAGAGAATCCAGTTTATTTATCGTTCCACAAGCCGTGGTAATACTTGCAGTAGCAGCAGAAGGTTTGCTTTGACACGGATTGGTCACGCGTTGTGTGACTCACCTCTGCACTGCGACGACAGTCTCTTGATTATTGACGGTGCGTTCTCAGATGCAGCGCGAAACGCAATCGAGACGCAGCCACGACAACATTCGAGCGTCTTGGCTTGGTCGCGCGTTGGCGTAGAGAAGACTGCGTTGTCCGCGACGTACTAGCACTGTGTCTACCGTCACACGAATAGTTGGACGAGCATCATTTGCAAGCACAACCCTTATGAGTTTCGTGCTACCGGGCTGTGAAAGGAGCCTGTTGTTACATCAACAAGACAGACCACGAAAAGGGCATCGTGCACACCCAAGGAAAGCTGATTACACTCCGTTGTGCTTCGTGGAGCTTGTAGTGCAAAGTGTTGTCCGGCCGTGAGGGGCAGAAGAGCAGCGCTAGTAACTCATTTGTGTGCCATGCTGAGTGGTGCGCGAAACCACTGGGAACGAGACAATCCGTCACAACTGCGTCGTCAAGTGAGGTGATTGCTTGTGCCTTGTGGATATCAACAAACGACGGACCGGCTGTGCGCCGATAACAGCACGACGCCGCTTGTAACTGCCGCTTGTGTGATATGCATCCAAGTGTGGTTACGAAAACACATTCCGTTCGGTCGTACAATCAACGGCTTCTGAGGTGCGACGTCACAGGGCTCTTGCGATGTAATCGTCCACGGAAGACTCGCTCTCGTCGATGCTCATTGTGCACCACACCTTTGGAAGCGAATCGCTGACGATAGTCAATTTGAAGTGCGTTTGTTTGTCCCTGTCACCTCACGTTAGTCGACTTCGATCCAGACCAGGGGAGCTACGTCTTATGTCTGGACGAGCAACCTGGCTCTTTACTAGATAGGCAGGCTGACCCTCAGGCTTTACTCGCGAGCTTGGTCCAGGAAGCTGAAAAGAAAAGCGCTATTGCCACCTCCGATAGCAATGCTTAAAGTTTTGAATCGACATTGTTTTCGGGTTAGGGCTTACGGAGGTCGTCGTGCATTAGGAGCGCTATAGTTGTTGACTAAAACAGAAGCGGGGGTGCGTCGACGTCTTTCGTCGCGGCACTTAGCGATCGGGACGACTGGGCGTGGATTTTGCGGGCCGCAGCTTCCTCCGCAGCTTCTGGGCGCGCTACGAGACCTCGAATCTGGACGGCTGACCGCAGCAATTCAGCTTGCAGTGTCTTTGGCGTCGGTGCGTCTGCCTCGTCATTTTTATCGCAACCAGCTTCTTCACGGTGCGCCTTTGCGCGCAGTGCTCGCTGAACACTGCGCGGGTCGACTTTTTCGACAGTTAACTGCAGTGCACCCGTCGTCTTGGATCGAAGCGCCGTGCCTTGGTCACACTTGACCTGGCGCCCGCTGGTTATCCCTTCAGTAGTAAGGAAGTCGCTTACCTCTTCCGGGAACCGAAGGCGAAGAAGCTTGTTTTTAATCGTGATCGAGACGTGCATCGGGTGGACATCGACGTGTATGAGGGACGAATCCAGGTACTTCGGCACGAAGACCTCGAGCACAACGTAGCCAGGCTTTGTCTCGTCATCAAGGTGGAATTTCCACTACGCAGACAGGTGCGGCACACGAATACGACGAAATCAATGTACCTTGCCTTCGTTGCACTGGCGGGCGACGCCATTCTGATCGAGCCGCCGCGCCTTCTCAAGTGCCGCCGCGTGCTCGGCCTCAGGGTCGCGGTCGCGCGGCTGGTTTGCGCGCTTCCGGGTTTCCTCTTCTTCCTTTTGCTCAGCCAGCTCCATGTACATGCCTAGGAAACACGCGATGGGCCCTGACTTGCTAATCAAACGCAGGCGTACTGCGGCGTGTCTCGGGCGTGTAAGGAACCTTCTCATCATGCTCAACGTGCGTGACTTGATTCGAGGAGACATCTGTGACGCCCCCGCTCACGACCTCGATGACGTCCATGTCGGCAAGGGTCCGAGCCTTCTTAGCAGCTACGAGGTGAGCCAGCTCGGCCTACCGTGTGAGCGTTTAACATACTGTATATGGTGAGAAGTAATCGTACGCGCAGCATGGGTAGCTGTTGCAGGGCCTTGATACGGTCACTCTTCGTGATTTCTTTGCCATCGAGCATCTGCAGGCGCGGTAGGGATGCAGTCACGTAGGCGGCGAAGCCCGGCCAGTCGGACTGCGCTGGGTTTCCAAGCATGTATAGCTCGCGGAGATGCTCGAGCGGTTTGAGATGGTTCTATACGTCGTTCGCTGCATAAGATTGTAGGTGGATCGCGATCGTACGATGCTCTCGGCGAGCTCGTCGACATCGATGAAGTTGACGGTCAAGTCAAGTTTCTCAAGAAACTCGCAGTTGCTGTGCCACATACCGATTACGCCTGGTCATCAGCGGCGACGTACCGAAGACCTTCGATGCGCTTGACATTGTTGAGCGCGAGGTTGAGGTACCGCAGGTCCTTCATGTGCGAGAGGTCTTCAATCCGCTCGATGATGTTGTTCTGGAGGTACAGGATACGCAGCTTCTTGCAGAGCGTGCCAATGAGCTCGATCTTCTCGATCTCTTCTTGGTGAAGCGAGATCTCTTCGAGCGTTGCGACAACGCCCTCATTGTGCTCGGCGCGCTTCCGAAGCAGCTCGAGCGTGATGCGGGGCATGACGGCGACTGCCCGGCCACCGGAAAACGTATCTTCCGGATACCGTCTTTCTTGGGTTCGAAAAAGGCCAAGCGGAAAATTTCGAAGCTCTGCGACGCGGTGTCGCGACCGACCGACGCCCGATGAACGACGACAGCCGCGCTTCGTTGCGACGCAGGAGGATAGGGCCATCATCGGAGCTGCCTTCTTCGTTCGCTGCGGGTTTCTTCGTTCGCTGCGGGTATTCCTTGGGCGACATGCGCCCCGAGCGATGAACTTCAAGGTGAGACGGATCGTAGAGCCAGCGCCAAATGATTGCGTCGTCTTATCGGCGGCGCTGGCGTAAGACCTGCGGTGGCCGCCATGGACGCAAAGAGGAGGAGGATGTACTAAATAACGACTAATCGATCGAGAACGACGACTACAGCGGCCACCGACGAGGATGAGATACACGATGTATTGAGGAGGACGTGGTTGGTAGATGATGGTGGTGCTGTTCAAGGTAGCGTCTGCGTTGCAGTCATACCGAAATGAGCCCGAGCTTCTTCTGTGTCGGGTACTTCTTGTCGCAGTGGTCGCAGATGAAGAGTGCTGTCGTGCACGTGTACTTGGAGCAAACACAGCAGAGGATCTCAACGGCCGCGGGCGCTTTCTTCACGGCGCGGCTCTTTCGTGCTGTCATAATCTCGGCGTCCTTGTGCACCGGCGACGGCTTGCGCTTGAAACCCGTGTCATCGGTTGCGTGGGAATCACTGTTGGCCGGCGACTTGGCCGGCGCAGTCTTTCGAAGGAGGAACGCGAGCTGCTGTCGCTCGGTCATGAGGCTCGGGTTGAGCACGGTCGCATCGGCGTCGGCGGCGGGACGCATGTCGTATGTGTGGGGCTTGGCGCGCGGGCTCACCTTCGAGTCGCTGCGCGCGTCTTCATGGGATCGAGATCGCTTCGTACCGCGCGTGGTCATCATTGTCGTCGTCGTCACCTCGGGCGTCGGGCTGGAATGGGACATGGACTCGCTGGGCCGGGCCTTGTCCGTCGGGTTCCTGCGTTGCGAAAAGCAGCAATAAATACGTCGTTTGATTCGGTGTTTCCATGAATTTTATTCGGCCTTTGATTGGTCCATATCCGGCCGGAAAAAGGTTGGATCTTAGAGGCGGATTTCAACCAATGAGTGCAGCCAACAATTAACTTTTGGCCAATCGTTTGGAGCGGAAACCGGAAGATCAAGTGTCGAGCGTGTGCGACATGTCTTGGCGAGCAAGGCCACTGAATCAGTCTGAATCCGAGTTGATGGTGCCGTCGGCGCTGTCACCCGGATGCCGTGGGCGCCATCGGCGAACGCATGGTTGTCGCCGCTCCCGCGCACGATGCTCCATCGCCGCCGACTCTGCGGGTCGATTCCACTGTGGCGTCAGTTGCGAGATTCACAGAAACGTGGATTTGCATGGAGCCAGCCGCGTTCTTCGATCGCAACTACGAGCGCCGCATAGATGGCACGCACGGATATGTATATTGAAGAAGGAATGCAGTGTCGACGTTTAGCGTGATCGCTGACTCAAATGAGCACGTAGTCGTCTTCATCGCTCAGGTCATTGTCGCCACCTGTGGACTCACCCGAGACGGAATGCAGCTCGACATCGTTCGTGTAGTCAGGCTTGGCATCGGCCACTGTGATAGGACACGTCTTGTTACGCGCCATGGCTGCGAGCCGGCGGCACAAGTCCACGTAGTCGGCTCGGTCACGGCAGTAGAAGCCGACTGCAAGCGATGGATCGATATAATCGACTTCCATGACCAAATGGTCTGTCGAGTGCACGGTTCGAGCATGCGTCTACGAGATTCTGCGGTTCAAGATCGAGGATGGAAGCGAGATGCTACCGCAGACGGGAACGAAGCATCAACTTCTGTCGTCGGGTGCACCGTGTGGGGGTCCAAAATGTGGAATTGATGGCCTACACATTGTTCTTTTTGTCAGAAACGGAAGCAAGGGCATGTTCGAACACACGTACCGCGGGCACCGACAAAGTAGACCGAGTGGCCGCGCTTCCCACCAATGATGCCGAGAGACTGCGGCAGCTCAAACACCTCAGTGAGCGCTGCAAAACTGGCTAAGTACGACGCAAGGAGTGTTGCTGTGCGTGTACCTGGGATGTAGGTCTCGTTGAGCTTGTCGAGGCCAAGACGCAATGGTACCAAAATGAACACTGACTTGGACCACGCCGCCGATGTGTCGATCGTCGGTGGGTTCAGAAGTGGATCATAGAGTACGTCGGTTGCTGTCGCAATGGTGGGCTGCGCCCATGCGGTCACGCAGAGCTTGTTGATTTCCTCCGTGTAGATGACACCGTCTTGCGGCACGTACATGCACATGCTGCAGTTGCTGCTGTTGGTCGGCGCATTCACGAGGTCTCGCAATACCTGGGCCGCAGTCGTCGGACCGTACCATTCGCCGGGCAGCATGTCGTACTTCATACCAACAGCCACCATGTGATGGATCGCGAACGCGCAGTCGACCGTTGGCGCATCCACGAACGACCGAAGCACGTGTACAACGTCGGGTGCGAGTGGATGCGTGTCGGACCACATAAAACGAGTCTCGCGGTGGCGCGGAAGGTTGCGCAGGAGCGCCTCACAGAGCATCATCTGCGCCGTCCGCAGCATGCAGCCCCAGCCCGCGTCGCTTGTAAACTCGTACGGCACCATCTGCGCAAAGTCGCGCCGGTACGTGAGCCAGATGATCGACTGGAGGTGGGCCACGAGCGAGGCGGCGGTCGTGTGCGGCACTCCGAGGACGTGCGTGGCCATCGGCGTCAGTGGCGTCGCCGTCTCCGCGAGTGACGTCGCATCAAAGTACCGGATCCCGTGCGCAAACTGACTCATGCGCGCAGTCCACGATTGCCACCAGCGCGTGAGGGAGAGGTCGGCGGCTATGGTTGCTGCGAGTAGAGTGAAGCTCGACGATGGGCCGACGGGCTTCTCTCGTGTCGATGGGGATTGTTGAGGGCGGGCGACGACAACTCTCTCAATCCAATGCTAAAGCTTAGGACGGAAGACATGGGAGAACGTTCTCGGCGAGAATGATGGTCACCGTAACAGCAGCAAAGATCCTGCCCCAAGCATGGCCGCATGGAGCTGCCACCGTAGCCACCAGGGCTGAGATGTGTTGCGATTGAAGACGAATCGAAATACAGGCGCAGCCGATAGGCCCCGAAATGGCGTGAGAAAGGGTCACATGCAGTACGTATTCTAGTCATTGCTCTATGGTGGGTCTCGTTCTGCAGGCGCAATGCAAGTGAATCCATGGGGCAAATGGCTACGAGCCCGGCCGTAATGACATCGTCGAAGCTACGTAGATGAGGGTGATGTCGAGGAGCGGAACGCGACGCGTCTTGAGCCGAGGTTTCGGGGAGACGTGCCATGGAGCCGGTCGTGCATCGACGCTGGAGCAATATTCTCCTTGTTGCCATCGTCGATGGGTGTACCGTCGTGGCTCTTCTCCAGTGTCCATCGTTGCCATATTTCTTCCATGGCGATGACGCTGGACGAGGCAGGACAAGGAGACTCTTCAGCACGCTCTTCGACGAAACCAGGTCCATCATCCTCCAACATGTCAACATCTTCCTGCACTCCGAGCATCGACGCAGGGGTACTATTATGTACCCCTGCATCGACGTCTCTTGATGCTCTGTCCATCTTCGCTGGACCGCCATGCCGACTGCGTCAGCGCGGCAAAATTGCAACTGGGATGCTCAAAATATCTTTTTGGGGTGTTCTCGGCCTTGGATTGGCCATAGTCGTTTACATTTTGACCGATCCACTCGATGTATACTATAGTACAGTCGACTCTCCCTAATTGCATATCCCGAAACTCGATATTCCTCTCCAGTGTGATACAGTCCGACCCTGATTTTTTACAGTCTC